CCTTGGGCTTGCTGGAAGTACAGACTGCAAGCAGGCCAAGTCCCTACAGCCCTCAAGAAAAAGCACAAATGTGGTCAAGAAGATCTGGAACTCTATGTCCTCCTCAACCAGTGAAAATAACTTCAGAGCTACTTACAGGGGACAGCTTCACCATTTTTAAATGGTTTGTGTGAGGGGCGTAGAATGCTTGCCTGGCTTGTGTGAGGCTCTGGATTCCATCTCCAGGCACTATAAAAACAAATAAAAGGGCTGGGAAGGTGGCTCAAGTGGTAGAGCGCTAGCCTTGAGCTGAAGAGCTGAGGGACAGCGCCCAGGCCCAGAGTTCAGGCCCCACGACCGGACCCCCCCCCCCAAAATAAAAAAAACAAATAAAAAGTTGTAGAAAAAATTTTCATACTTATTGAAACTAACTACAAAGAGAAATGAAATATGAGAACTGGGAAAGATTTGCACCATATGATTCAAGTCTAATCAAGGCAGCTGGGTCATCAGCCCATTTTGCTGGGATGCTGGTGGATAATCAGACTCAGGAGACATATTCTACCACTCCTTCCCTCAACAAGCATGTGGTTCTCTTCTGTGCTTTCTTTCACTAACAGCTTACCTTGCCATGTTTTGTTCTCAGCATGCATGACACAGACATGTCATTGGAAAAATGCTAGGTATCCCCAGATTAGGCACACACATTCCCTGACTTGCACTTACATTTTACAACTTAATGATGATGGAAAATGATAGGCATTTGGTAGAAACTAGATACTTGTGAGTTTGGATCTTGTTTTGGGCTAGTGATGATACTATACTATACTCTTTCACAATACTATACTCTTTCACAAGCTTAGTCAGCCAATCACAAGGCTGGTCAGCCAATCACAAGGCTGGTCAGCCAATCACAAGGCTGGTCAACCAATCACAAAGCTGGTCAGCCAGTCACAAAGCTGGTCAGCCAATCACAAGGCTGGTCAGCCACAATGAGCTACAGCTCCCAGTCAGCCATGAGCTCATGATGGGAAACAGCCAACACTCCACAGCACACTGTGTGGCTCAGCTAGGTGCTCTGAGGTTAGATGTATTCAAGGTACTCTGACTCACAGTATTTTCAGCTGACAGTGGGTTTATTGGAATGTCATTCCTTTGAATAGTGAAGCATCCATACTTATTTAATCACCTTCCTAATGAAAGCCTTGGAGTTAATCTTAAGTCATTGTAAAAAAAAAAAAAAAGGTTTCAATCCAACATGTTTTGAGTACAGTGCCTTCATTGTTTGGGAGAGACTTTAGAAATGAGCCAGTCCAGTGTCCAGTTTTGTCCCTCACTAATTATCCTTTTTTGTTTTTTTGGTGCATGTCCTGGGGCTTAAACTCAGTGACCTTTTGTGCTCAAGGCTAGTCTCTACCACTTGAGCTATAGTAGCTCCATTCCTGGCTTTTTGGTGGTTAACTGGAGATAAAAGTCTCATGGACTTTCCTGTCAGGGCTGGCTCTGAACTGCAATCTACATATTTCAGTATCCTGACTAGCCGGAATTATAAGCATGAGCCACCAATGCCCAGCTAATCATATGTTTGAATCCTAGAGTTGGTAGCAGTCGCCTTGCCCATGAATTAATGGGGCAGAGCGGGAAGGAGGTCAAAAAGGGAGTGAGAGAGAACAAGAGAGTGGCAGGGTCTCTGTGCCCAGCTTGACTTCCAAGAGGGCAGTTTCATATGATTGGGCTCTTCTGGGAAAGGATGTTGACAGTACCAGTGACAAGCAAATAAATACACACCACTGATCTGATTTTGCAGCTGAGGAAACTGAGGTCCAGAGAGCAGACATACTATAACTAAGAATACAGGGCAAGTCTTTTTGCCTTATGCTAAGTCTTAGCTGCATTTATTCCATTATGCTATGGGGTCATTTAGCCTCCCATTGTGTGCTTCCGAGCGCTCTGCTCCCTTTGCAGCCCACACCACTGAGCAGTTCTAACTTTTGCCTTTGTTCAGCTGGATTTTGCCACCAGCAGTGTTCAGTCCCCACATGGTTGCTGGTGCTGTGCTTTGAGGAATGTGGCTTCTCCATGCTGAAGTTGGCACCATTGCCAATCACCTATCCACACACCCTTGATTAGACCAGTAATTCTTCTCTGTGGAAGTTGAGTGAGGAAACTTGGGGTGGAGCCCAGGTATCTGCATTTAACTTTCTCAGATAGTACTTCTCACATTGCCTATTATATAGAAAGAGTTTGGTTGGTTTAAAATTCCAATCCATTTTTGGTCTGATGCTTTTCAATATAACTGTATTGTTATGAAAATAAAAAAACTTGGGGCTGGGAAGGTGGCTCCGTGGTAGAGCGCTTGCCTTGCATGCATGAGGCCCTGGGTTCGATTCCTCAGCACCACATAAGCTGTGGCTCAAGTGGTAGAGCGGCTAACCTTGAGCTGAAGAGCTGAGGGACAGCACCCAGGCCCAGAGTTTAGACCCCACAACTGGACAAAAAAAAAACTTTATCAAAACAAGAACAGAAGTGTCCCGACCTGCAGGACTTCAACGAGGGCAATGAACCTAAACGAGAAGGAATGAAGGGACAAGAGACACGAAGAATGACAGCAAGACAGGGATTCTGATCAAGCTGCTGCTGCTAAATTTTATTTTTCACACAGCTGTATTTATATGCTTGGAATCCTTGGCCGTTAAGGAAGCTTCATTGGCCGAAGCAGCTGCAGGGTGTTTACTTAGGGCGTGGTAAAAAGGTGGGATTCTGTAAACTCAGCCTCAAGTTGTTCCAGTGAGATAGTTAAGCCTATTATGTTGAGAGACTCAACTTTTGGCTCCCTTTCTCTGAATTAGATTCCATAGATCTAATCAAACACAGTCAAATTGCTATAAAGGTTTCTAAGAGTGACTCCCAATTTCTGTCTTTACCTCATTATAGAATAGTAACAGCTATCTTGCAGAGCAGCACTGGCCCCTGGAATATACCCAGAATGGGCTTGTCTCAGATGATAACGATGCAGATGGGGTAACATGCTTTGAAGCTATTAACCTCAAGTGTCACAGCAGAGAGACTGAGCTGGGTTGAAGAGCCTGGCCCTGGTGTTGGCTCACTGTCTCACGCTAAATGAGTCTTTGCATTCTCCCTCCCTCCCTCCTTCCTTCTTTCCTTGTCTCCCTCCCTCTCTCCCTCTCTCTTGCTCTGAGGCTCAGTTATCCCTTTTGGAAATAGGTACTAACTTGCCCATCACTTTTGAACATACAACATCTGATAAGTTAATAGAATCTCCCCCAGAGAAGTAGGAAATGGAGTCACCTGCCCAAATCAAAATGCATGCTAGAAATGAATATAATCGCACAGATCTGCTTTTAGAGAATGAAGCAAGTTTCTAAGCAATGACACAGCAAAGAGAAATTTCTAGATGATAAGTTCGAAGGACAAGTGCCTTGACCATGGTCGTGGCCCTGAACTGAGAGCTAGCTGATTTGACCATGAAGCTAAAAAGATAGGAACCTCCTTTCCACTTTCCTCACTTTCTGAAGTCTAGCTGCAGTCTTTATCTCTTTCTTCTTGCATTCTACCTCCAGATCCTCTTAGAAAACATCAGATCTCAGCCCCAGATCTCAGCCCCTGGGTCCAGTGCATACTGAATCCTAAAGGTCCACACAGGATCCAGTACTAGAAGGCAGCACAGACCCAAGAGGGAGCTAGCTGGGCAAACTTGGTGCTTCCTGAAAACCACAGGGCCAGTGACAGTAATGAACATGATCTGAGAGTTAGATACTCCCATGTCTTAGACATATAATACATTTTATGTGCTCTTTTTCATGTAAAGAATAAAAGAAGGTATCTGAGCAACGATGGCTCATCCCTATAATCCTAACTATGTAGAAAATCTGAGAGCACAGGATCGAGGTTCAAAGCCAGGTCAGGAAAGTCCATGAGACTCTTCTCTCCAATTAACCAACAAAAATTCTGGAAGCAGAGCTGTGGCTTAAGTGGTAGAACACTAGTCTTGAGCATAAAAGCTCAGAGATAGAGCCTATGTTTCTTTGGGTCTTACTTCACTTAATGATTTTTTTCCAAGTCTTTCCATTTCCTTATAAAAGGGGCAATGTCATTCTTTCTGATAGAAGCATAACATTTCATTATGTATATGTACCATATTTTCTCGATCCATTCATCTACTGAGGGGCATCTGGGTTGGTTCCGTATCTTAGCTATGGTAAATAATGCTGCAATAAACATAGTTGTGCTGGTAGCTCTAGTGTGGCCTTGCTTGTGATAAATGCCCAGAAGTGGGATTGCTGGGTCATAGGGGAGCTCTATGTTTAGTCTTTTGAAGAACTTCCATACTGCTTTACAGAGTGGTTGAACCAGCTTACATTCCCACCAAGAGTGTAGGAGTGTTCCCTTTTGACCACATCCCCACCAGCAGCTTCAAGACATGGGAACATTAGGTCTCTTTTTGGTTGTTGACCTTGTTGTTGCCAATGTACTGTATCTAGTTCTTTCTTTTTATTTTGTTTCATTTTTCTTTTTCCATTGGTTCATCCCTGGCAATCACTGTCTTTGATTCTGGGACACTGAGTCTTGTATATGCATTTATCTAACTTGGGGAAGGGGAATAACAAAATGGGGAAACAAGGACAAACAAGGATGACTCATTGCAACAATACTCACAAAACTCTATGTTGGAAATGAAATTTACAACTTTGTGGGTGGGGGGAGTGGAGGAGAGAAGGGATAGTGGGAGAGAAACAAAGGAGTGGGTAACAATGTTCAACAAGAAATGTACTCATTACCTTACTCATGAAACTGTAACCCCTCTGTACAGCATTTTTACAATAAAATTTTTTTAAAGATACAAAACAATACAAAAAAAGCTCAGGGATAACATCCAATCTCTGAGTTCAAGTCTCCCCTACCCCCCTCAAATAAAAACAAAAGGAAACAAAAGGACCTGTTTCATGATCACATTCCTGTCTCTCACTCTTTAGAAATAATTTTCCTATCTCTTTTGCCAGGAAATCAACTTTTACAAGGTCATTGACTACATCCTGCATGGCAAAGAAGACATCAAAGTAATTCCGTAAGTTTTGCCTCAAAACATGCAGGATTACAGGCACATTATCTACATCCACTGGCTACTCATTCCAAGACTAATGCTAACCCAACGTGGCCATGCCCTTGGTTAGAGGCAGAGAGAGCCCTGCCTCAAACCAGGAGAGACTCATGCAGGGTGGGAAACAAGGCTCAGGAGGGGAATAGCCTTGACCAAAGCCACGGTACACTACTGAGTTGTGAATCAGGCACTCTGAGTTACACAGCCAGTGTTTACAAGCAGCCTCTCTGGATCTCACTCTCCAATCTATAGAATGAGACTAGGGAGATTAAATCTGGGCTTTTCAACAGTTTTCTGTGGTGCTATTTCTGGGGTCCAAGAAAGGGCAGAATAAAAGCAAGAAAGTGACTCAGACCATAGAGAAAGTTTATCATTTCGTATCCTCTTCACATATATCTGGGGCTCAGAGACCGTTCTAAGGACAGAACAAGCGTGGGCTTGAAATGTGTTGGTCAGCAGAAAAGAAAGCTTCATTACCTGTCTATGTGAATCCCTCCTTGAATCAAGAGACACACCCATGGCTGTCTTTCTTTACGTAATTGTGGACATTAGGAGCTGCTGTCACACTCTGTGGGAGAGCCACACCTTTGGTCTCTTGCCCCTGAGATCTTGCTCCAACCGAAGGCACTTACTGGATCCTGCTCTAATCCACCAACAGTTTATGAGAGAGGAAAGGCTTATTCAGCACAGACCATCAGACCAGATTCGAACACTCCTCTGTCCTTCACATAAACAAGTCTACAGTTATATCTTTTGCTAGTTAAGGATGAGATGGTGCTTCAATTCCCTCCATTCTCTACTCACATACAGATTATTTATTTATTTATGTATGTATTTAATTTGTTCAGTATTAGAATTGAAACCCAGGGTCTTGTGCTTGGTGGACAAGTGCCTCACCACTATAGCTATGTCTCCAACTCTTTTGATTCTTTTCTGAAGTTTATTATTTTATCTTCTCCCTCCTCCTTTCTCCTCTTCTTTTTCTGTTTCCTCTTTTTTTCTTCTTCTTCCCTTGTCAAATCCACATGCTCAACTATTCTGCTTCCTAGCCCCTTCTACAGACCCTCAAATTTGTTAAACCCATGAATTGTCTTCTAAATGATCAGAGTTCAATTTTCCCTGTGACTTTCTCACTGTCAAATATCACACCTTACTAACCTCGGATTACAGTCACCTTGCAACCTTCTACTGAGCCCTTGGCCTACATCATCTCTTTTGAAGTTTTTTTTTTTAAGGGCAGCATCCATTTCTATCACAGATTTTTTTAATCATCTAGGAGAGCCTACGTTGTTTTATTATAACCACTCCTTGAAGCCAAAGTGGTATGAACATCAAAGTTCTGTTGTAATATTCTAGTGTGCATCCTTTGCCAGTTACTGGGTGTGGTTGGGCTATAATTCATGGATTTTAGTCAGGCAGAGACCAAGGCAGATAAAGCAGCAGTCATTTTGAGCCTTATAAGATCGACTAATGCTGCCCAAGGGAAGAGAGCATATGAAAATCCACTCATTAGCTCTTAAAATGTCAGTCTAGGGACAGCACACCACTTCCACTTGCATTTCATTGGCCAACAACAGTCCTAGGGCCATTCTGTACTTTAAGTGGATAGGGAAAGTAACCCAACCATGTTCCAAGGAGGAGAGACAGATGGAATAACAGGAAACATCCCCAATGGTGGTCACAGTACATGCCATCTAAACCAAGAGAAGGGAAAATTGAATAGTAAATTAATGATTAATCAAACCAAAGGAAGACTAAATAAAAATTTAAAAGTGACTTAGAATGGATAAGGAAAACAGAAGAAAGCACACATTAAAATGGTATTTAAATCCAAATATACCAATAATTTCTTTAAATATTAATCAACTAGATATCCCAGGTAAATAACAAAGGTTGCTAAGCTAGATAAGAAATTTATTACATCAAATGGCTGTCAACGTGCAGAGTTTTCTACTTTTTGACATTTCTGGAATGCTACCATGTAATTGCCATCAGCCACACAGAAGTCATGGGCAATTATTGCCTCCCTGAGTGTGAACTAGATAATAACTATTTATATTGTAAATTTAGTTAAGCTAATGTTGAGTAACCATGCTGGCTACTATCCACATTCTTTAATTGAGATGTTCTATGATGTGGCATTAGAAGAAAAAGTTGTCTTGAATGGCACAAAAAGAGGAAAAGAAATGTGATATGGGATTAAAAATCTATATCAGAAAATTAAAAGAACATAGCTGATATGAACAAAGTAAAATTATAAGTGATTTTTTAAAAAAAGTTGCATTGCAGATAAATTGGCAGCATTTTATCTTTCTAGGTGACACACAAAATGGTTTACCAAAAATGATTATAGGCTGAGTGCTAGTGGCTCACACCCATAATCCTAGCTACTCAGAAGACTGAGATCTGAGGATCACAGTTCAAAAGCCAGCCCAGATAGGAAAGTCCATGAGACTCTTATCTGCAATTAACCACCAGAAGACCAAAAGTGGTGCTGTGGCTCAAGTGGTAGAGCACCAGCCTTGAGCTGAAGAGCTGAGGGACAGCACCCAGGCCCACAGTTCAAGCCCCATGACAAAAAAAAAAAGATTATAGGGCTGGGAACATGGCTTAGTGGTAGAGTGTTTGCCCTGGGTCCAAGTCCTTTGTACCACATATACAGAAAAAGCCAGAACTGGAGCTGTGGCTCAAGTGGTACAGTGCTAGCCTTGAGCAAAATCCTCAGGGACAGTACTCAGGCCCCAAATTCAAGTTCCATGACTGACTCATAGTACTACTACTACTACAATAATAATAATAATAATAATGTCAGCAAGTAAAACACACAATATAAAGGATTATAGAACTTTTATTTAGCTGGGTTTATTCCAGGAATGGAAGTTTGGTTTATGATTAGAAAAATTAAGCAAATATAACTTGTCATATTAAAAGGAACATGATCTGGGCATGGCAATACATACCTGTAATCCCAGCACTCTGGAAACAAAAAGTTCAAGGTGAGACTTAGCTACACAAAAAGATCCACTTTCAAAAACGATAAAATAAAATAAAGAGAAAAAGAAAAACAGCATAATTGTTCCCATAAAGGAGAACTTCCTTAATTTTCTAATGAGAACTTTAAAAATAAAAATATACCAAATAACTTTTTTTTGAGAATATATTACCCAGTACTGACAAATTGAAAATTTTGGCTTAAGCAATCCTATTACCTCAGATTCTTCAGTATTTATGCTGCAAGTGCAAACTGCACACCTGGTTTAACAAATAACATATGTAATGGGGAAATAACATATTTAGTGATGAGAGATTTCTCATTAAGATCAGAGACAAGACACTAATAATGACTATTGCCCTTTCTGCCAGCTGTACTGGAAGTCCTAATGAGAACAATAAGGCAAATCAAATTTTTTTTAAAAAAGATTCTAAACTGGCCAGGTGCCAGTGGCTCACACCTGTAATCCTCAACTATTCAGGATGCTGCGATCTGATGATTGAGGTTTGAAGCCAGCCCAGGCAGGACAATCTGTAAGACTCTTACCTCCAATTACCCACCAAAAAGCCAGAAGTGGAGCTGTGCCTCAAGTGATTAGCCTTGAGCAAAGGAGCTCAGGGACAGTGCCCAGGCCCTGAGTTCAAGCCCCAGGACCGGTACCAAAAAAAAAATGTTGCCAGGCATCGGTGACTCATGCCTGTCATCCTAGCTACTCAGAAGGCTGAGATCTGAGGATCTCAGTTCAAAGCAAGCTGGGGCAGGAAAGTCCGTGAGATTCTTTTCTCCAATTAACCACTAAAAAACTGGGAGTGGTGCTGTGGCTCAAGTGGTAGAACACTTGCCTTGAGCTGAAGAGCTCAGGGAATGGCCCAGCTCAGAGTTCAAGCCCCACAACTGACACCCCTTCCCCCCCAAAAAAAAGTCTAAGCTGGTTGTTTGTGGCTCACACCAATAAATCTACCTACTCACAAGGCTGAGCTCTAAGAATCTATATTCAAAGCCAGCCCAGATAGACAAATCCTTGATTATCATTCACTACCCAGAAAAAAGCCAGAAGTGGAGGAGTGTCTCAAATGGTAGAGGAGAAAGTCAAGCAAGAATTTTCAGGATCCAGTACCAATGCCCTCCTCCCCGCAAAGTCTAAAGCTCAGAAGAAATAAAACTCATCATGAATGGTGTTGTAAAAGGCAATACCTTGTGTGAGACAAGGTATTTACAACAAATCGAAAGAATATGAAGAATAGGTCAAACTCAAAAACCATGTAGTTGAAAAAGACATATATATTCATGGACATGGACATACATACATGTATACACGTGTATATCAATATACCTAAATGTACATATGCATATATATAAGCAAACATACTCATATATATTTATATACACATAGAACATGACTGTTTAGAGAAATGAAGGGAAGGAGGGAGGGGGAAAAGAATGGAGGGTAAATATTATTAAAATAATAGCAATGATATATGATATATGAAGATGGCATAAGGAATATCAGTGAAAGCTATAGATCAATATAGGGTTGGGGTTTAGGGAAAAAAAGCAATACAGAGGATTATTCTGATCAAAATGTAATATATTCACATCTAAAATGTCATGGTGAACCCCCTGGGTACAATTAATGCACACTAACAAAATAATGACAAGAAACTAACATAAACTTAGGATAGTGGTGGGTAGTAGTGAGAAGGAGGGCAAATGAGGAAGGTGAATGAGGATGAATGTGAAGTGGTTTATTTGCATGTATGAAAATAGAATGTTGAAGCCTGTTGTTTTAAGAAGGGGAAGGAGGTCAGTGAGAATGAAAGAAGGAGTGAGGTTGATTGGGATGCATTGTAAACACGTGTGGAAGTGTTATCATGAAATCTTTGTATGCTAGTAGAAACAAACTGAAAAGGGAATACATAAAGAAGTCTGAAAATAAAAAATATGAATACAGAAAAGCAGCTAGAAGATATGAGTATGAAGTTCACAAAAAAAGCAATCCAAATGACAAATACATTTATATAAGGCACTTCAATTCATTGACTTGGCAGAGAAATGCAAAAGCATATCACAATGAGGTATCATTAGATCCCATCAGAAGAGCTATAATTTAAGTTTATTGATAGAGATATGAGAAAAGGAAACTGTACCCTCCATCGATGAGAATACAAATTGGTATGATTGCTTTAGAAAGCAATTTAGACTTATCTTAAAGATCCAGCTGTCTTATGAGCCATCTACTCCTAGGAATATCTCATATGGAATTGAAAGTACCTATGTACCAGAGTGTTCACAGCAGCACAGTTGACATTAGCCCCAAACTGGAGGTGAGGATGGCGAATTACCCCAAGCATAAGTGGTACTACCATAAAACATGAGAAAACCAAGCCAATAAAATGAATGCATTGTGAAACATGAAAAAGCCAGACAAAATAAGATACATTGGATAATTTTATCTATTCTTTTTCATGTATGTGTGTCAATAATAAGGTTTGAGTTTGGTTGTTTCATTTTGTTTTTGTGTGTCAGTCCTGGAGCTTTAATTCAGGGCCTGGGCAATGTCCCTGAGCTTTTTCACTCAAAACTAGCTCTCTACCACTTGAGCCTTAGCACACTTCTGGCTTTTTTTTTTGATAGCTAATTGGAGTCTCATAGGCTTTCCTATCTAGACTGACTTCAAACCTCACCTTCCTGAGTAGCTGGGATAATAGGTATGAGCCACCAGGACCCAACTAGTACTGGGTCCAAGTTCTATCCCTTAGTGTTCACTCATGGTTGATGCTCTACCACTTGAATCACAGCTCCACTTCTGGCTTTTTGCTGGTTAACTAGAGATAAGGATCCTACTGACTTTTCTGTCCAGACTTGCTTTAAACCACGATCCTCTGATTTCAGCTTCCTGAGTAGCTAGGATTATAGGCATGAGCCACTGGCCCCTAACAATTCTATCTAAATGACATTACAAACCAGCCAAAATCAAATTAGAGAGTAAAGAAAAACAAGAATGTAATTGCCATGTTATAATAATACTTACCTTTGGGGTTAGGGAGAAGGCATGATTGGGAGGGGCAGGTCAGGGGCTCCCAAGGTACTGATAATGCTGATCTTGACGTGTGTGTGGTTTCATAAATGCTCATTTTCTTATGACTGATGGAGATTTTCATACATTTTGTGTATATCTTTTTTACAATAAACAAGCAAAAGAAAATGATGTGTCATTCAGGGACAGGACATGTTCTGAGACACATATTGTTAGGTAGTTTTGTCATTAGGAACATCATCAAGTGTACTTATACAAGCTAAGAATGTGATGCCATCACTCAGAGATATAATATTCCGGGACTACCTCAACCATAGACCCCCCCCCCGACCAAAACATGTAGCACATGACTATAATACCAAAAATATAATGCTATTGTTATATCATGTAATGAGTATGTGAAGTCCTTAGTGCTTATTACATGGTGGGAGCTTATGAGAGGGGGTTTTCCCATACAGTAAGAGTTCATATTATACTATACTAGAGTTCATTTTATATGGGGAAGCAATGCTGTCAGCTTTTTCTCAGTAGCCAGGAGTTATCAGTGGAATAGATGCTGACTTTTCTTGACTAGCCAGACTTTGTGGACAATCAGTGAAATATGATACCCATTCTTCTAAATTAACATTAAGGTGTGTGGCTGTCATTCTACTCTTGGGCATTTACTCAGATCATTACAAGTCAGGATAAGGTAAAGGCACTTGTACAACCACTGCTGCACTATTCACACTAGCCAAGTTTTGTCTGATATCCTACAGATGAATAAGCCAATAAAATATGGTATATATACATGCATACAACAATACATACATACATACATACATATATACATACATGCATGCATACAATGAAATTTTACTCATTCATTAGAAAGAATAACATTATGTCATTTGCAGGGAAAGGGATGGACCTACAACAAATCATGCTAAGTGTGGTAAGGCAAGCTCAGATAGACAAACAAGGCATGTTTTCTCTCATATATGGAAGCTAGATCAAAAATATAACTAGACACGAAGACCTATACAGGACGGTAGACATTCACACACAATCAGACTATAAAGGAGGACATCCTTAGAGGAGGAACCCAAAAATGTAAGTTCTCTGAACATTTAAAATGCTATTTATTGAGACAACCTCCAGGAAATGGAAATATAGGATTTTTGTTGTTATTATTGGTGGTGGTGGTGATGGTGGTGTTTGTTTTTGATTGAGGTTTTTTTCCCCTTCATCAGAGGGAATGACCCATGTAATTTGTGGGCAGGGATAAGAAGGGGAAAGTAAAAGAAGGAGTGACATTGTCCAAAAAAAAAGAAATGCATTCATTACCTGACTTATGAAATAGTAACCCCTCTGTACAACACCTTAACAATAACAATAAAATTAGATTTTAGGTGGGGGGACTGAGGAGGATGGAAAGAGGGAGAAAAATGAGGGAGGGGGTAACAAGTTAGACAAGAGATGTCTCACTACCTTACTTATGTACATCACCTTGACAATACAATTTAAATTTAAAAATATATTTAAAAACAGATGACTGGCTGGCATTTAGGGTTCACTCAGGTATAGGGAATGTAACTGGGTGCTGGGGACAGCCTAAGGTTGGAGTGGAACAAAGGCTTAGATTCAGCTTTTTAGTCCAACAGTACCTATATTGAAAGCCACACTTTGTCTTTGACTTTTACAGGAATCCACCTCCTGACCACTGGGCTTTAGTAAGCGGCCTCCCCTCTTATGTGGCCCAAAATGGCCTGGTAAGTGATGCAACTTGGAAGTAGGGGAGTGTGAATGGGGAGAATGAGAGCAAGTGTGAATTTCTAAAGACCATTCTCTTGATTTTTCAATTAACTTGACGGTTGGCCTAAAGTGATTAATGACTGACATTTGGGCAAATACGAAATGCAGAGAAATGATCCTCAAATGGAAAGGTACATCATCTCATTGGGGGCTAAAACTACTTACACAGGACTGTCATGACTGGCTGAGCCACCAGGCTTGTCAAAGACTCCATGCCAACCTCTCATTCCAGCTTAATTGCCATTTCCCAGCCAGCCCTCTCCCCTACATTTCCAACCATAGTTATGTAGCAGAGCTCTGATGCTTTACTTCTCATCATGCCACACCCACTTAGAGTCAAAAAATGGAGGGACATTGTTCTTTGTGCCTCAGGGTAGAATCATGTCTGTTAATGGCATGTTGTCTCCATATGTGAGCTTACTCACAGTACATCTTTCCCCAAGCGCACACTACACAGTGCTGGCCCTATAGTAACCTGTCTATTTATTAGGCGCTGTGATAAGCTCTGGAAATGGAATAAATAGATCAAATGTAATTTCTCTTCTGAAGCTTATAATCAAATGAGAAGGCATCTATATTGACAGATACTTACAAAGTGATAAGCCATCACACACACACACACACACACACACACACACACACACACACACACACACACAGTATTCTGACAATAAAGATAGAGTGTATCTAAACTAGCCTTCATTTCCCACAGTGTAATGGTCAGAGTTGAACTTTAAGATCAATAGATCTTAGGAAGGTGGAGGCAGGTCAGGAGATTCAGATGGAGGGAACAACATGGGTATTAGTAACTTTCCCTTCTAGAACAAATACCATAGAAAATCAGCTTACAGGTGAAGGTTTCTTCTTTTTTATTTTTACTCATTTTTAAATAAGTTTTTTATTGTGAAAATACTGTACAGAGGGGTTACAAGCACATGAGCAAGCTAATGAGTACATTTCTTATCAAGCATTGTTGCCTCCTCCTGTTTTTCCCCTACCATCCCTGCCCTCCCATCTCCACAACTACATCCCCCCTCCACCTAAATTGTAAAGTTCATTTTTTGACATAGCATCTTGTACATCTCATTGTTGCAATGGGTCAACCTGTATCCCTATTTAAACAATTTGTTTTTTCCCTTCTGCTCCCCATATATACACAATGGAATTCTATGCCTCCATCAGAAAGAATGACATTGCCCCATCTGTTAGGAATGGAAAGACCTGGGAAAAAATTATATTAAGTGAAGTAAGCCAGGTGCAAAGAAACATAGGTCCCATGGATTCCCTTATTTGCAATAACTAGTATATGTCTGAGTCAAGCAGAAAAGGTCAGATAAGATAATGTTAAGTGAAATGAACCCCAAGATAAGGGCACAAGTAGTTTTTTCTTTCTTGCTATTGTTTCTAATGTATTTATAAGGTACCAAGTGATTTTTGTTGTTGTTGTTGCTTTGTATGTCCCTCCCGCAAGGTGAAGGTTTCTTTTGGCTCAGTTTTGGAGGTTTTTAGGTCACATCATTTGGCCTCATCGCCTTGGGCCTGAAGTGAATATAGTACAATACACACGATAGAGCTAAGCTGCTTACCTCATGGTGGCCAGGAAATGAAAAAAGAGGAAGTTCCGGGGCTGGGAAGGTGGCTCAGTGGTAGAGTGCTTGCCTTGCATGCATGAGGCCCTGGGTTCGATTCCTCAGCACCACATAAGCAAAAAGAAAAAAAAAGCCGGAAGCGGCGCTGTGGCTCAAGTGGTAGAGTGCTAGCCTTGAGCTGAAGAGCTGAGGGACAGCGCCCAGGCCCAGAGTGCAGGCCCCACGACCGGACCCCAAAAAAAAAAAAGAGGAAGTTCCTTCAAGGAACTGTCTCAATGACTGGAAGTCTTACCAGTAGTCTCACCTTTTGAAGATTCTACCACCTCCCAGTGGAGGACCAAGACTGTAACACATGAGCCTTTGGGGATTACTCTATATGCAGCTACACAGCAATAGGCAGATAACACAGGAAGAGATCTGGAGCAGTGCTATGTGTGTATGTACTGTTGCTGGAATATTATGTTTGAGACAGAAGTAGAAGGAGCTTGAGAGGGAGGAAGCCAGATCATAGGAGGCCTTGATATCACATCAAGGGGCAAGGATTTCATCAATTGGTGACTATTTTTTGCTTTTTTTTCTTTCTTCTGGTCCTGGCGCTTGAACTCAGGGTCTGGGCATTGTCCCTGAGCTTTAATGCTCAAGGCTAGCATTCTACCACTTGATCTACAGTTCCACTTCCACTTTGCTTTTTGGTGGTTAATTGGAGATAAGAGTCTCACAGACTTTCCTGCCCTGACTGGCTTCAAACTGTGATCTCAGATCCTAAGTAGCTAGGATTACAGGCATGAGCCATGGGCACCCAGCTTAGGTGACTTTTTTAAGCAAGAGAATGGAATAGTCAATTTTCATTTTAGCAAGAGAATGTTGGCACCTCCATGGAACATATATCCAAAGGACTGGCGCTGGAGGGTGGGCAACAACCTGAAGTAGAAGTTAGAGGTTAAAAATATCAACATAGGGATGTCCTGTAAAGAATATTGTTGTTATTGCCAAGACTCAGTGAGTGCTTAGAGTGAGTCAGGTCCTAAATAAATGAACCCATTTTATACAACAACTCCAGCAGAGATGGGATTAAAAAGAAGAAGAAGAAAGCTATATCTGGTAAGATCTAATATTGAGAAGGGAAAGCTTGTAAGCCTTTGTGGTTGATTGTAAGCAGAATGGAAAGAGAAATCAAAGCTAATTTTCAGACCGGTAGATAATGCTGCCATAAGGTCTAAATATAAGATGATGAGGTCAGTTACAGACAAAGTGCTTTGGAGACACTCTTAGGAACAAATGTTTAGCAGGTAGATGGATGATTTGGATATTATAGAGAGAGTGGAGGGGTGGAGATGAAATGAGGAGGTCCTCAAGACCAGGTGGTACTTAAACCACGTGTGTTGATGTAATTACCCAGGAGCAGTACTCTGTGGTGCAAAATTGGAGGCTGCCAGGATTTCCAAAGCAGGTGGGGAAAGACGAGTGTGAAGAGAAATGGGAGAGTCTAGAATTGTTTGGAAATTTAGGAGAGAGTGGTGTCTTGGCAACCAAAGAAGCAGAGCAAATCAATAGAGAGAGATAAAATGTAGCATGATGATCTGGTTAGGCAGAATCTAAAAACTCCAGGGAATTGGCCATTAAGAGGGCTGGTAGCCCTAATGAAAGCTGATTTGGTAGCAAAGTGGAAACAGGAGCTAGCATGTAGTCCACGGAGAAGTGGCTGTGTAATGAGGAGGTAGAGAATGCAAGAGAGAAAGGAGAATGCCTACCTGGATTGTTACTATGGAGACCATATCAGGGAGAGGAAGAATTTCATTTGTAATGATGGGAGAGATTGGAGCATGCCCATAGGAAACAGCCAAAGGAGAGGCTGATGATCAAGAGGGAGCAATGGAAACTGGTGGACTTTGTTCATGCAGAGACCAGAAGGGCAATAGTGGTTAGTCACCCAATAGGAAGAGGGACAAACCACTCTCTGAGACAAATGTTGTCTGTGTTGACAGACCGGGCTGCTGCAAATGCATGTCCTGGCTTCTGGTGAACTGGAAGAAGGAGTCCTTTTCCAACAGAAGGAGCAAGGTTGCGGCCATGGCTCCGCAAGCAGAGCACACGTTGATTTCGGTTCCCAGCTGTCCCTCAGCCAGATGCTTTTCTGCAATACCTACACAAAGCCCAGCATGACCCTGTTGACAGGGCAATGAAATATCTCCCATGTGATCCTTTGATGATACAATTTTCAGGACAAGACTTCTAAATCTAGCAATAGAGAAACTGAGCTACAATACTTTTCATTTATTATTCTGCTTTGGGTTACATTTCAAGGGAAAACAATAAAAACAATACCCCTTCTCCCCCACTGAACCAAAATGTAATTGAGTCAAAGATGTTTACAGTACCATTATTTATCTCAGCTTTTTAAAACCAGATGATAGCAGGTCATGGTGATCCACACCTGTAATCCCAGGAGGCCAAGGCAGGAGAATCAGGAGTTCAATGCCAGCCTAGACAAAGTTAGCAAGAACCTATCTCAAAAACAAAAAGACTATGGATATGGCTCAAGTGGTAAAGCACTTGCCTAGCAAGAGAAAGGCTCTAGGTTCAATCCCCAGTTTAGTAAAGCTAACAGTGACCTGAACACCACCCAAATACTCCACAAATGAACATAATATTCATCTGTTAATAATGACAACTTGTGCGTTTAGCTTTTTCAAACCTTGGAGATGATTCAAGAGTATAACAAATGGAACCTTATAAGGTGTTTTTCCTATTCAGTAACCTCAGTTAATAGCCCCAAACCATTTCAAGAACATCTATCTGATGACAGGAATGTAAATGTCCTAGGCAAAAAACATGATGTTTCTCCAAATAGTCTGTGTGCTTCACTGGATGTACTATTAGGTCTAATCACAGCTCCATTATTTCTTTTTGTGGCATTCAGATTTGCAATATCATGAATGCGCCTGCGGAGGACTTTTTCGAATTTCAGGTGAGTCATTTTTTAATTTGTTCTCTTAGTCTTCTGACTTGATTCTTTCCCCCCCCAGAAAGAGCCTTAGAATACATGAGAATCCGCCTACTTTTCTGGGAAGCAGCCTAAAATAAAGTGAAAAGATGACTGGAGAAAAGCCATATAGCAGTGGGAATCGGGTGGGAGTGAATTGGGTGATTTCCAAGGCCCCTCTCCTTGCCTCCCGCCTTTGGAATATTGTTCATGCTGGTTCCTCTGCAATTATCATTTGCTGTCCAAATCCTCTGTCCTTCCATACTGACCGTAAATGCTACCCTTCCTATGAATTTTGTGATGATTTTCATGGCTGCCATCATTTTTGCTTGACAGCATTCCTCTGTGTTTATGGAGAGCATCTTGTGGGCCAGGCTTGGGCACAATCTTCAGTGACTTCAGTGACAGACAAGATAGATATGGTCTTGTTTCTACAGAGCTTATGAGACAGACATAAAGTGACGGTCAAGGAAAGAGCTGGGAATAGAGGAGGGGCTTGACTTGATGAAAGGAATCAAGAAATGTGTCTCAGAAAATTATATCTGGGAACCACTACCTCTCTAGGATGTGTCTGTGCATTACTGGACCCCAACATGTAGCACACTGCCTAACATATGCCAGCCCTGACATCTTAGGACTGAAAACCACAAGGCTACTTGTCTTAAAGAATGCCAGTCAGATGCACTGTTTGCTCCAGGGTTTTTTTTTCTTTTTCTTTCTTTCTTTCTTTTAAAAATTGGCCATGGAGCCTGAACTCTGGGCCTGGGCGCTGTCCCTGAGCTCTTCAGCTCAAGGCTACCACTTGAGCCAAGGTGCCACTTCTGGCTTTTCCTGCTTATGTGGTGCTGAGGAATCAAACCCAGGGCTTTATGCATGCAAGGCAAGCACTCTACCACTGAGCCACCTTCCTAGCCTCTACTCATGGTGTTTTTGAGTGGCCACGTCTATGAGCAAAGTCCACCAAATGCTATCCAGTTATTCCCTTCTTAGAGAATCAGGCAGGGTCCCAATCATAGTACAAAGTCTGTCACAGCTGCCTGTGCAGCCTGGAAGCAGAGGAACCCTGAGGTCTGATGCTTCTCTTGTAGAAAGAGCCTCTGGATGAGTCTGGATGGATGATTAAAAATGTCCTTTCCATGCCAATTGTGAACAAGAAGGAAGAAATTGTTGGGGTGGCCACGTTTTACAACCGTAAAGATGGGAAGCCCTTTGATGAAATGGATGAGACTCTCATGGAGGTATGGTATGCTGAGGCTGCTGTGGGGTTCAGAGGTCGCTAGCTTCCAGGCTTGGCTTTCAGAGCTGTGCAGTAGGACCCTGGGGTGCAAGTACCTAACCACCTGGAGGGATTGGAAGTCACTGTGCTGGCACAATCCTACACCAACCTCAACTCTTCTGTACTGTCAACTGTTATCAGAAAAACCCAATTCCATACTAGAATAGTAGAGCAAAGATTAATGTAACTCCTGCACAAAGATAACATGCAAATTTGAGAATTGTTCCATTTTTTAAATAGATAAAGTTGTTTCATGTAAAAAAAAAGTTTTTCTTTTCAGAGAAGTTTTAAGTTCCCAACAGAATTGCGCAGAAAATACAGAGTTCCTATATGCCTTCTTCCCTCAGCTGGGCAGAGGCTAGTTCCCCACGTAGGCTTTATTCAAAGTGTATTTATACCCACTACTCTATGTTCTCATTACCACCCTGCATGTTGGCACATAGCTTCTCAGACCATTTTATAGCTGGGAAAACAGAAGCCTTGAGAATCTTGCCCTAAGCTGGAGTCAGAACCAGACCTGAATGTTTTATCTCTGAATCTTCATTTCTTTCTTTTTTCCCTTTTCCTTTCTTTTCAGTCTTTGACTCAGTTTCTGGGCTGGTCCGTTTTAAATCCTGACACCTATGAGTCCATGAACAAACTTGAAAATAGGAAGGATATTTTCCAGGACATTGTAAAATATCATGTGAAGTGTGACAACGAAGAAATTCAGAAAATCCTGGTGCGTGACATTCTTTCCTGGCTCCTACTCTAGTACAAACTGTGCCTTCGCGATGCATCCAAAGCAAGGCAAGACATGAAGTAGATGAGGGCACAGGCTGGGGTGGGTCTTCTCAGTCACATCCTCCCGCCTAACACAGAGGTGGAGATCTTCACAGTTGAATAGATGGATGCATATGTGCCAGCGAGCAGTTAATAAAGACTGCCCTTTGTGGTCTTAGCACAGGTATCTTTTGCAAAATGACTTTGCTTTAGGGGTCTGGATCTGGCTTGAAAGGTCTTCACTTTTCACTATGCTTAGGGTTGACTTGATACTGAAGATAGTACCAGATAGTTGTACCCCTATTCAGGAAGCTCTATCCGGAAGACCACTGATCCATGATCCATGTCTCGGAGCCATGCTCCTGTGAGTCAAGAAGACCTAAGTAAGACAGAAGAGTTAGATGAGCAAAGGAGATTTCCAAGAGGAGTAGGCACTCTTCACATAGTTTCATCACTTTGCAATTTATATGTCAGGTTCACAGGACCTTGTGTTATGCTGATAAGCATTAGCCCAGGAAAGTAGGAAAGGCAATGAATTCTACCCTCATTATAGAAAGGAAGAAACAGAGGCTACCACAGGGGAAGGAACTTGCCCCCAAACCACCAAACTGGTGAATAGGTCTCAATCTTTATCAGGACAGTGAACCTCCTGCTTCACTAGATGGCAAGCGTGCCATCTTGAGAATCATCCAACAGAAGCTGATGATCCTATTATTAGGGATGCCATTGTAAGAAATCCTAGGTGAGGTGGGAAATTGGATTAAATACTTAAAAAAATATGGTAGAATCAGTGATTGATTGTTTCTGGGATCTTGGTTTTATTTACTTATTTCTGGTTTCAATTCCTTTCATTTCTTTTTCTTGCTTAATTGTTATGGCTAGAATTTCTAGCTCAATGGGATCTTGGTTTTAAAGAGACCAAGATCTTAGAAGCAAATTGAATTGTCCCATGGTTTTGGAAATGATATCCAGTTAAATTCCCAAGACTGCGTAATAGGCCTCACAGGTTGAAACTACACAGGCCCGTGTGCATCCAGAAGCCATTTCTTATGCATGGAAGATGCCACAAGTTTCATCATTTCCTCCCAATATCTACCTGGGTCAAAGAAGAAACTAACCTGTGTTGATGAATTGCCTCATGCTTTACTTGACTCAGTGGATAATTTCAGCCAAATGATGGATATGTGGTTCTTATGGAGGCCTAGCCTTAGTGAACCAGATTTTGCTCTGAATCATGAAATCAGGAACAAGTAACTGGGCCCATATTCTATACTTCTCCAGCACATGAGGAAATAGGCCCAGAGAAAAAAGGAACTTGCCTCAGATCACACAGTAAATGAGAGAAAAATCAGAGCCATAGCCAAAGGCTCATTTTTCCTAGTCAGTTATAATAAAATTATCAACAACAATGTCATCTGATTTTAGTGCTCCCTGTGTGCCAAGTATTGTGGCAATGCTTTACATGCATTATTTTAGTTGTATATATTTTGTTTAAAACAACTATGCAAGCTGTGTGTGATAGCACAGGCCTATGACCCAGCACAGGAGGCTGAGGCTGGAAGATTAATAGTCCAATACAATCTGGGCTACATAGAAATGCTGAGTCTATCCTAGAACTATGTAACCATACCCTGTCTCCAAAATAAAAACAAAAACATGCAGTTCAGTGGTGGAGTGCTTGCCTAGCATGTACAAGGCCCTGTCCACTGTCACACTGCGAAGAAAAAAAAATGTTGCATGATTAAGGTTAAGGACTTTTCTCATCCCTATTTTACAGATGAGAAAACGGAGGTTATAAAGTATTCTGTAAGCCGGGAGCCAGTGGCTCACACCTGTAATCCTAGCTACTCAGGAGGTTGAGATCAGAGGATCACGGTTCAAAGCCAGCTCAGGCAGGAAAGTCCGTGAAACTCTTTTTGTTTTGTTTTATTTTGGGTCCGGTCGTGGGCCTGAACTCTGAGCCTGGGCACTGCCCCTCAGCTCTTCAGCTCAAGTCTAGCGCTCTCCACTTGAGCCACAGCACCACTTCCGGCTTATGGGTGCTGAGGAATTGAACCCAGGGCCTCAAGCATGCAAGGCAAGTGCTTTACCACTGAGCCACCTTCCCAGCCCCAGTCCTTGAAACTCTTATCTCCAATAAACCACCAGAAAACTGGAAGCAGAGCTGTAGCTCAAGTGGTAGAGTGCTAGCCTTGAGCTGAAGAGCTGAGGGACAGCGCTCAGGCCCAGAGTTCAAGCTCCAAGACCAACAACAACAACAAAAAAGTATTCTGTAACCCTACTAGTACATAGGGAGCTCAGATTGGATGCAAGACCCTGGACCTGAAGCTCACTAATGAATGCTGAATGGCAGTATCGCTGATGGGTGGTTCCAATGCATAAATTTTGGAGGAAGCAGAAAAATAGAAATGGAGATGTGGAAATGTATTTAGTCTTCTGATATAATTTCCTGTGTCTTTGTCTCTGCTGTTTTGGCCACTGACAGAAAACCAGAGAGGTGTATGGCAAGGAGCCTTGGGATTGTGAAGAAGAGGAGCTGGCTGAGATTCTGGTGAGCTGAGATGAAGCACATTGGGTATGACGCAACACTTGTCCAAGCACTCCTGAGTGGGCATGTGATCTCTCTACAAAGTATAATCCACCCTCTGCTCTGCTTCTCTTCTCAGACTTGGGACAGGGCAGGGGGTGGGGGACCCAGAAACACTTCATCCCCTGGTTTCTTGTCTCCATCCTCTGTCTAGCAAGAAGAGCTGCCTGATGCAGAGAAATATGAAATTAATAAATTCCACTTCAGTGATTTGCCTCTCACAGAGCTGGAGCTGGTGAAATGTGGTATACAGATGTATTACGAGCTCCGAGTAGTAGAAAAATTCCATATTCCACAGGAGGTGAGATCAAACACCTTTCATTTCTCCTTTTCTTTTTCCTTTGTTTCTAAAAAAAAAGCAAACAAAAACAGCTCAGTCTAGAAAGGACCTTAAGAAGGGAGCACCCTTAGCATTTGGGGTTCAGATCTTGATGGACAGTTAAGTCATCTGTCAGAAGAGACACTTGTGTTTCTGAGCTGAGAGATACAGTGTGTTCTGAGGCTCTGAGTTCTGAGGGCTGTGAATAAATAGATGTATATATGGTGGAACATGTAGGCTAGTCCATTTAAACACAGCTCTTCCTCTTCAGAACTGCAAAAGAAGGTGCTGGTAGTGGGGGTGAAAAGAAATATGTGAGATGCTGTTCAAACCACCGGTTCTCTCTTACATATCTATACACTCACCCTTAAAGCTCTAATGAATCACAAACAACTCAGCCCTTTACGTGATGCTGATGGGCACTTAAGTTGGAGGCTCACAAAATTAAAACACCCTTTTGTTTTCTTGCCTATGAAGTTAGGTTAGCTTCTCTCTCGGGACAATCGATCTCTGGGCAATAAGCTTGGACTCATTAATGAGGCTCAGCTGGTGGGATAAGTGAAATGATTTGCACTCACATCTTGTTTCCCAACCACTGTAATTTCACAGTACTGAGCAGTTGGCAAAGCGTCTATTGCTAGGTCTTCCCCTCTGGTTGAGTGCTGGGGTTGGAGGGCCCGGGCACCTGGCCAGGCTCCTGCTGTCTCATTGATTGTGCATGTGTTTGCAGGCCCTGGTGCGGTTCATGTACTCCCTGAGCAAGGGCTACCGCAGGATCACCTACCACAACTGGCGCCATGGCTTCAACGTGGGGCAGACCATGTTCTCCTTGCTGGTGGTATGGAGGGCTGGTGATGGGGTCTGCCCTGGCTGTGGGCTGGAGCTATGTGGGACAATCACATGCAGACTCTCATGGCAGCTCTGCATTGCCATTTTTATTTATTGCCTTTTAAAAGTTGCAAAAGTGCTATTTGAAATCCTCTGGCATTACCAATGTCTGCTAATCACTAGCCAGGTGGAATCATAGATTCATAGCCAGGTGCCGGTGGCTCATGCCTGTAATCCTAGCTACTCAGGAGGCTGAGATCTGAGGATCATGGTTCCAAGCCATCTGGGGTAGGAAAAATCATTGAGACTCTTAAAATCATTGAGACTCTTATCTCCAATTAGCTTTCAAAAAAAAAAATCTGGAAGTGGTGCTGTGGCTCAAATGGACAGTACTAGCCTTGAGCAAAAGAAGCTCAGGGACAGCGCCCAGGCTCTGAGTTCAAGAACAAGAAAGGAAAAAAGGAAAGAAAGAAAGAGAGAGAGAGAGAGAAAGAAAGAGAGAGAGAGAGAGAGAGAGAGAGAAAGAAAGAAAGGAAGAAAGAAAGAAAGAAAGAAAGAAAGAAAGAAAGAAAGAAAGAAAGAAAGAAAGAAAGAAGGGAGGAAGGGAGGGAGAGAGGGAGGAAGGAAGGAAGGAAGGAAGGAAGGAAGGAAGGAAGGAAGGAAGGAAGGAAGGAAGGAAGGAAGGAAGGAAGGAAAAAAGAAAGAAATAGAAGAATAGAGAACATATAAAATAAAAAATGAAAGGAATTTGGACATGGTAGCACGTTTGTTATCTAGAGGCTGAGGCCGGAGATTGTGATTTGCAGACCAGCCTGGGATGCACAGTGAGACCCTGTCTCAAAAGCCAAAAACAAACCACCACCAACATATAAACAAACAAAAGAAACTACCACTAAAAGAAGTTGGTCTAGGGGCTGGGAAGGTGGCTCAGTGGTAGAGCGCTTGCCTTGCATGCATGAGGCCCTGGGTTCGATTCCTCAGCACCACATAAGCAAAAAGAAAAAAGCCAGAAGTGGCGCTGTGGCTCAAGTGGTAGAGCGCTAGCCTTGAGCTGAAGAGCTGAGGGACAGCGCCCAGGCTCAGAGTTCAGGCCCCACGACTGGACCCCCCCGCCAAAAAAAAAGAAGTTGGTCTAGTTACTTGGAGATAACTCTGGCACAAATTCTCTAAATTCTCTTTTCATACACATACAGCACACAGAGAAACAAACACATAATATATTTTATTATAACCAATAGAATACTATTCTGTACTTCTGGAAAACATAAATAATCAGTCTTTCATTTTATATTTTTGTATCAAGCACATTCTTTTATTATATAAGCACACAACAACTTTTTTTTTACTATACATAAACATATGAAAACCACTGGTATTCTATTCCTATAGTCTATATTTCTGTTTTTGTGCTGGTACTATGTTATTATTCCTATAGCTCTTTAGTATAATTTGAAGTCATGAATTGAAACTCTAGTATTGCTCTGGTTATACAGGGTTTTTTGTGCTTCTATACGAATGTTAGGATTTATGTTTCCTATTTCTGTGAAGAATGCCATTGTAATTTTGATGGAGATTGATAGAGATCACTTCAATAATATAACCATTTTTATAATATCAATTCTATTTTTCCATGAACATGGAACATTTTTACATCTTCTAATCTCTTCTTCAACTTCCTGTTTCAATATTTTGGGGTTTTATTGTACAGCTCTTTCATTTTTCTTGTTAAATTTATTCCTAGTAATTTTTTTCTTGAAGTTATTATGAACAGAATTGATTTCTTGATTTCTTTAGCATGCTCGTTATTGTTATATAAAAAAAAAAAGCTGTTGATTTTTCTACTTTGGTTTTATGTCCTGTTACTTTTCTGTAAGTATTTAAAGGTTTGTTTTTTTTTGGTGGAGCCTATGGGCCTTTTTAACAATAGAATCATATCATCTACCAGAAGGAATAGTTTGACTTCTTTCCTTCTGATTCATAACCCTTTCATCTTTTTCTCTTTCCTTGTTGCTCTGGCTAAGAATTAAGAAGTATATTGAGAGGAGAGTAGGCATCCTTGGCTTGTTCCTGATTTTAGAAAAAATCATTTTTCTCTATTTATTACCATGTTAGCTATAGGGTTTTTTTTTGTTTTTGTTTTTGTTTTTTTTTACCATAGTAAGGTATGTTCTTTACTATGTTAAAATATGTTCCTTCTATTCTTAGTTTCTTCAGGACTTTTATCATGAAAGGATGTTGGATTTTGTCAAGAGCTTTTTCTGTATCTATTGAAATGATCATGAGATTTTTTGGTCCTGTTTGTATTTATTACCGTATGATAGTCATGTGTGTGTGTTGCGGCATCCTTGCATCCCTGGAATGAAACAAACTTAATTACAACATATAATTTTTTTAATGTCAAATTTGTTCTTTCAGTATTTTTGTTGAGAATTTCTGCGGGTATGTTTGAAGAAAATGGTCTTATAATTTTCTTTTTGGTTATTATCTTATGCTTCTCTGACTTTGGTATTGCAGAATGAGTTTGGTGGTATCTTTCTCTTTCTATTACAAGGAAAAGTCTGAGGACCCTTGATATTAGTTTTTTAAAGGCCTAATAGAACCCAGCAGAGCAACATCCAGTCTTGAGCTTTTCTTTATAGGTAGGCTCTATTACTGATTCAATCTCCTTGCTTACCATAAAGCTGCAAAGTTGTTTATATTCTCTTGGGTCAGTGGTAGTATATCATATGTGTCTAGAAATTTGTCCATTCCTTCTAGATTTTCCAATTTATATGAATATAAGTTTTCAAAGTATTCCCTTATGATCTTATGAATTTCATTGGCGTTTGTTTTAATGTTACCTTTTTTCCAATGTCTAATTTTATTAATTTGGGCTTTTCCTTCTTTCTTTAGTTATATTGTTTAAGGGTTTGTCAATCTTGTTTATATTTTCAAAGAAGCAACCATTTGTTTTATTGATTTTTAGTATAGATTTTTTTAGTTTCCCTTTCAGTTATTTCTTTCCTGACATTTCTATTTACCTTCTAGTTTCCATCTTTTACTTTCTTTGTGCCAGTTCTGATACTTGAACTCAGAGCCTGGGCATTGCCCTTGAGCTTTATTCACTCAAGGCTGGCACTCTACCACTTCCGGCTTTTTGTTGGTTAATTGGAAACAAGAGTCTCAAAAACTTTACTGCCTGGGCTGCCTTCAGATCACAGCCTTCATTGCTCAGCCCCCAAGTAAGCCACAGTGCTGTTTAGTAGCTATTATTGTATTAGGTTTATTCCTGTTTTTCTAAGAACTTAAGAAATTTCATTAGTTTATTTATTTTAGGTTGCTTTGATTTTTTGATAGTCATAGCTCTACACTTTCCTCTTAGAACTGTCTTTAATATGTCTGATAGGTTGTAGTATGCTGTATTTTCATTTTTATTAGATTCTAGATATTTTTTAATTTCTTTACTGGCTTCTCCAATGACCCACTAATCATTCAAAAATATATCATGTAATCTCCATGTGTTTGCATAGTTTCTGTAGTTCCTCTTGCTATTAATGTCCAAATTTCTTCCATTATTATCTGGTAGATATAAGAAATTATTTAAGCTTTTTTTTTATTTGTTAAGACTTGCTTTGTAGCCTAAAGTGTGCCCTGTATGGATAAAATTCCATCAGCTGCTGAGAATTGTGTGTTATATGCAGTTGTTAAATGTACTACTTTGGAGAAAAGAGTTTGATTCCTCATGTCTGTAGTGCAGTTTAACTCTGAAATTTCTTTGTTGATTTTTTGCAGGTCTAAATGATCTATTTATGAGAGTGGAGTGTTAGAGCTACCCACTGCTGTATTATATCTGCACTTGTCTGTGTCTTTATGTTTATTAGCTATGTTTTACGAAACTAGGATCACCAATGTTTGGTGCTTACCAGTTTACAATTATATATCTACTTAATGCTTTCTTCCACTTATTAATACATAGTGATCTTCTCTATCTCTTCTAATTTTTGTTCGAAGAGTAGCTCTAAGCTACTCTTGCTTGCTCTCTGTTTCTACTTGCTTGGTATGTGTACAGGACATATACATATACATGTATATAATACACATACAATGCTCATACAATACATACACAGAGGCATACACACATATACATAAATATACATATACACATACACACATATGTACCTACACATACACACATATGCACACATATACTATACATACATATACACGTGTAGACATACACATACAAATATATATGTGTGTATATATATATATGTACATATCTGTCTGAGTCTTTGCCAGTGAGGTATGTCTTCTGTGGACAACAGATAGCAACATCTTGCTGTTCTTTTAATTGGCGAGTTAAGACCATTCCATTTAGAGAAATATTTGCTTATTCTAATAATTTTGGTGGCTTTTTTGTTTATTTGTTTGTTTTTCCTGGTTGAATTGAGTACTGTTGTTGGTTTTTTCTTTCCCCCTCATTCATCTTAGGAGTGTGCTAGTTTACTGAGTTAAATGTATTTGATTTTTTCTTAATTTTCTATTGTTCCTCTATTCCTCCCATACAATTTATTGTTTCTTGAAAACTCGAGTTTGTGAGAGCTGTATTTCTCCCTCACCTGTGTTCGGGATTCTTTTATTTATTTTCTGCAGTACTGGCTTACTGCTCATGAATTGATTTAGTCCATAGAAGCTATTTGTTTCTCTATTGATTTAAAAACATAACTTTGCTAGAAATAGTATAGACAGTTACTTACTCTTAGCACTTGAAATGCATCACAGCATGCTTTCCTGGCTTTGGGGGTTTCTGTTGAGAGATCTGATGATATTATCATGAATTTGCCTTTGTAAGTAAGTTGGCATTTTTTCTCTTGAAACTTCCAATACTCTCTTTGTTATATCATCTTGGCACTTTAACTATGCTGTGACGTGGAGAGGCTTTTTTTCTGATCATATTTCCTTGAGATTCTACATCCATGTCTTTCCCTAGACTAGATTTGAGGAATTTTCTTCTATAATTCCATTTAATAGACTTTATTTGACTTTTAATCTGTACCTCAATGTCTTCTCCTACTTCTATTTAGGTTTTGTCTCTTGGTCATAGTCCAACATTCTTGAAAATTTGGGTGAAGCTGGGCATTGGTGCTCACACCTGTAATCCTAGCTACACAGGAGGCTGAGATCTCAGGATCACAGTTCAAAGCCAGACCAGGCAGGAAATTCCATGAGACTCTTATCTCCAATAAACCACCAGAAAACCCAGAAGTGGCACTGTGGCTCAAGTGGTAGAGTGCTTGCCTTGAGCTGAAGAGCTGAGGGACAGCTCCTAGGCTCAGTGTTCAAGCCCTACAACCGACAAAAAAAAAAAAAAAGAAAGAAAAAAAGGGTGTGTGTGTGTAAAATGAAAAAGGGTGTGTGTGTGTAAAATGTTTTTTTCCCTGTGTCTGAATGTAGTAAATTCCTCAACTTTGTCTTCAATCCTTGATATTTGTTCTTCTGCTTGCTCTAATCTATTGATAATACTTTACATTGTGTTTTTGATTCATTGAGCTTTTCATTTCCATATTTTTATTTATCTGTTTGTTTCAGAACCCCAGTTTCCATGCTGAATTTCTCACCCATATTGCTGATATACTCAGTGAAGCATGGAATTGACCTTCTTCAGTTTTCTGTCTGCATGAAAAGTGATCACTTTAAAAGCCGTGTATTTGAATTATTTGATGACTTCAGACATTTCTTTATCTTTACGTTTTAGTATTGAGGAGTTATGAATTTGTGGAGGAATCACATTACCTTACTTTTTCATATGTTTTATTTTTCTAAGTTGTAATTTACTTATATTTTGGGATAGCTATCTCTTCTGATTTATTCACTGGTCTTAGTGATCAACCTTCTCTCGAGTATTCAATCCTAGTATCGGTTGGAGAGGAGGAAACAAATCACTGTAACAGCAACAACAATAGTCCTCATTATGCTAGATAGATAGACAGACAGTTGGACAGACAGTTGGACAGACAGACAGACAGACAGACAGACAGACAGACAGATAGCTAGCTAGCTAGCTAGATAGATAGATCTATTTATACATATATGCATATATATGGGTGAGCAGGTCAGGTTGGTCAGCTTCAGAGCTATGTTCACTTTAGACGCTTCCCTTCTTTGAGTATCTAATGCCACTGTTGCTCACAGAATTGCATCCTGTGAGCTGGATAGGTCCCCAGTTGCTTCAGAGAAACTCCCCCTATGTGTGCAGGGGGGACAAACGTACAAATGAACAAGCTATGAACTGAGATATGACCTGAAGGGGACCAAGGAAAGCCAGCATTCTGCCTGTAGGTCTGAGCCCCACCCAATACCTAATTACCCTGTGGGGAATGTGGAGGCTTAGAAACAGAGCAATCTGCCAGGCCTAGACATAGAACTCTCAGTCCCACTGGCAGCAAAACATGCATAGCAGGGAGTCAACTCCAAGCTTAAAAAAATCTGCCGGCAGTGGAGCTCACTGGACACTGATGAAAGTGAACTATACAACTCATGGGTGGAGATGGGAGGAAGGGACTTGGAGAGAGCGAGAGAACAGAAGACACTATACAAAAGGAAATGTACTTATTACCTGATTCATGTAACCCCTCTGTACGTACATCACCTCTATAATAACAATAGAGTAAACTAATTTTTAAAAAAATCTACTAGCTATCGGACTGGTCTTAGAGCATTTAGTCTGTAGATGACATTTTATGACATTAGATGACATTTTAAAACTAGATTTGTTGTTGCATGCACAGGTGTGAAATCCACAAGTGCGAAGGCTTGACTACATTAGATTTTTTGAATGTACAATAATTTCTTTATCCCACCACCTATTGTTGGGTATGGAGTACATTTTCAGTCTTCCACTATGTCAAAACCTGCTACGATATCCTCAAGTGGACACACTTTTGTATATCTGTGTCTATACTTTTGGCTCAGAGAGTTTTGAGTCCTTCACATTTCATTGAAATGCCTCCCCAGTGCAGCTCATGCCTCAAGCTCTGCTGTGGATCAGGTTTCTTGTCCTTATTCTTTTCCCTTCAGGGCTGGAAAGGTCAAGCCCAGGCAGATGCTGAGAGGCAGGACTTCTAGCCAGGGCCAAAAGAGATCACCACTTAGATTTAGTTTATTTCTTAGGGTCACAGAGTAGGCATCATTTTCTTCTTTCCCACCATCATTTTAACACTTAGTGGTAAAGTGTTTACCTAGCATGCATGAAGCCCTGGGTTCATTTCCTCAGTACCACATAAACAGAAAAAGCTGGAAGTGCTAGCCTTGAGCAAAAGAAGCTCAGGGACAGTGCCCAGGCTCTGAGGTCAAGCCCGAGGACTGGCAACAAAGCAAAACAAAACAAACAGACAAAAAACAATGTGTGGGAGTATTATAGAAAGATCTCTCTGCACTGTGCCTCAGCTGGTAGACCAGGTTTGGAAGATATGCTTTGCCAATCTGGCCATTTTTAAGATTCTTTCCAAATCCTGAAACCTAAAGTTTATCCATATTCAAAATCTTTTCAATCCTGATCATCGAGAGTGCCCTCTACCCCCAATGTGTAGATTGGAATACTGAATCCCCAAAGGGCAGAAGCCCAGCTAAGGTCACTTGGGAATAGGGTGACCAGCTGTCTGTTGGCCTGTGACTGTTCCAGTTCTAGTAGTAAAAGTTCCAGGGCCCCAGAAAACTCTCCAAATTGAGTAAGCCTCTAATTCCTCTATAGTACAAGAGTTAGTCCAGAGCACAGGTTCATAAATGCCAGGCTCTCTCCCTACAACTACCCTTCAACCCTGCTTCCACCCCTACAGAATAAGAATGACTTGAACTTCTGATTGCTCCTCCAGACCGGAAAATTGAAGCGATACTTCACTGACCTGGAGGCCTTGGCCATGGTCACTGCTGCCTTCTGTCATGACATTGACCACAGAGGCACCAACAACCTCTACCAGATGAAGTGAGTCTTCCCACTATTGTTCTCCAGCCTTCTCCCAGCCTCCATCCCCCAATCTTCTCCCAGTCTCCTTCCCCCGGCCTTCTCCTAGCCATGACACCCAGACTAGCCAAGGAAAAGTCTTGCTGTCCAGTTTCACTTCTCCCCTTAGCATTGGGTCTATGACGGTGGTAGATAGAATCATGACTTCCTGAAGAAATCCATACCTCAAATCCAGATACCTAGGGCTACATTGTCTGCTTTTCAAAATGATAGAATGACAGGGTTAATATTCAGCATGTGTAAGAAACTCAAATGTCTCCACAGTAAGAAAACAAATCGCCTAATCTAAAAGAAACTTTGCAGATGTGATTCAGTTAAAGAGCATGGGTGATAGGGATCATGCAGGTGGCTCCTTGTAGCACAGAGGGACCTAGTGAGAGGAAGTCCGGAGGTGAGAGAGAAGAGAGAAGGTTCTGCTTCTGCCTTTGAAGATGGAGGAAGGGCTCCAATCAAGAAACACAAATGGCCTCTAGAAGCTGGAAATAGCAAGGAAGAGGGCCTCTTCCTTACAGTCTCTAAAAGGAGGACACACTTTATAGTTCTGAACCCTAGGGATATAAGGCAATATATTGTATTGTTTTAAGAAATTAAGTCTGTGGCAATTATAGCAGTATAAAGAAATGAATAGATTAAACCCCTTCACGCTCCCCTTTCCCTATTCTACCTGCTGATATATTTAGGTCAAGGTATTAATAATGAATAACATTCATTAGTAATGGATAACCTTGTATTGATAGGCTCCCTATGTGGTGTGGTAGGTTGTATAGTGAGCAAAAAAGACAAATGTTTTGACCTCATACAACTCATATTCCAATCAGCCTCTGAAGGACAGTTCTTGGACTATGGCCTCACCACAACCTCATAACCTCTCTTTGGTCTGGGTAGGTCAGAAATAGAAGTTATCCCCATGTTACAGCTGGGAAAACTGAGACTCTGCTCAGGCCCCATGGCCTCTGGCCCGTAGGATGTGAATAAACTTAGAATTCGTGCTTCTCTGAGTCTTTTCTCTATTCTGAGGCTGCTCTAAGGCTGGAGATTATGTTTCAGTCTTATACTGTGGAATCTAAGCACTTGGCACAGTAGCACATAATCTGTGTTATTAACTTAAAAAAAGGAATACATCCATGACTTGTGGTAATTCAATGACATCCCTTAAGTCTTGAGCATGGAGGAGCAGGGGCTTGTTGATCTTTGAAGCATTACCCAGCACTGGGGTCCACAGATGGCTACAGGTGATCCATCCATCTCTAAAACTGCACCTGGCGGGGTCTGGCTTTTCCTGCCTAGGAGTTTACTATATCCAAGGTTCTCCAAGTCTAAGGCCGAGAGCCTCAGAACCAATTGTGGAGAAAGCAAAAGACATCATCAGAAACTCAGTGCCTAGGCCTCATTTCCCATCACCTCACTATGTGACCTGAGGTGAAAGCCTTCTCATTCCTGGACTTTAATTTCTGCCTGCAGAATTAGGATGAGGCAAGGCTGGATCACATGTCTTAATGCTCATCTTGGCACTATCCATTCATCCATGCTGATTCTCTCTCTCTCTCTCTCCATATCTCCCTTCTATTTTTCTCTGTTTCTCTCCCTCTGTTTCTGTTTCTCTCTCCCTCTCCCCCTCTCTCTGTCTCTGTCTGTCTCTCTTTGTCTCTCTGTCTCTGTCTCTCTCTGTCTCTCTGTCTCTCTCTCTCTCTCTCAGATCCCAAAATCCACTGGCCAAACTCCATGGATCCTCCATCTTGGAAAGACACCATTTGGAATTTGGCAAAACACTGCTGAGAGATGAGGTAAGACAAGGCCTATTTCATAAGAAGCCTGGATGTATCCAGGCAACCTTCTTTCCATTGACCTGGGCTTCCATTTTACCATCATCTAGGGCAGCCACTGTAGATGGGTGATTGTACTGCCAGCATTATTTCTCACATCTGTCCTCTGATTTTTTTTCCACTTTAGAGCCTGAATATCTTTCAAAACCTCAATCGCCGTCAGCATGAGCATGCAATCCACATGATGGACATTGCTATCATTGCCACTGACCTTGCTCTATATTTCAAGTTGGTATTTCATCTCATTTTCATAAGCAGAATAACAACAAGGATAAGAACAACAAATATCATAGTTCTGATGGTTGTTGTGTACCAGGCCCAACGCTACAGCCCTTCGCATTAGATGTTATTACTCCCATTCCATAAAGAAACCAATATCACAGTGCAAACTTTGGGCTAGGGCTTCACTCTCAGGCCATGATGATTTTAACCTTGTTTGATTGTTTTCGTTAACTAATTATGTTAGTTTAATAAGCCCTCACCTGAAACGTTAGCCATTGTTAGGAGCTCAGGTATTGCCTTGCTGCAATATGTGTTCCCCTAACAAACTGGCATGTTTTACAGGAAGAGAACCATGTTCCAGAAGATCGTGGACCAGTCAAAGACCTATGAGAGTGAACAGGAATGGACTCAGTACATGATGCTCGAGCAGACGCGGAAGGAAATCGTTATGTGAGTCGAAGCAGGGCTAAATCCTGACCCCTATCAGCCAAGGCAGAGGCGGGAGGCTGCACTGACAAGCTCTTGTTTGACAGTCATTATAAATAAAGCCCAAACCAAACCCAAGTTGCACGCATGCACACACACACACTTTTAATCTTTTTTAATCACTAAAACCATGACAATATATTATTGTTTAATGTCATTGTAATATTTTGTATTAGTACAATGTAATATACAAGAATTTCAATCAATCATAAAATTTAGAAATATAAAATTTAGAGTACAGTGGGTAAAGTGAGGTTTAACTTTCAAGTTTTTATTAAAACAAACATTATACTGTTGTATACTGAGTGATAGCTACATCACTTAAAATAGATAGACTTAACTTTTCCGTATTCCTTTATATATGGAAATATATAGTTGGTGTTCACAAGTTAGTTCTATGATGGAAATGACACTCATGGGGCATACAAAGCTGGCAATGGGTCTGTAATGAAACTCTCATTTACTTTCCTGGTAAGTCTTTGCGGTGAACTCAATGTGCTTCTGTGAATCACCTCAGTTGCTGAGGTGAGAAGTGTAAATGTGGGACTCTTCGAGAATGTGTAGCCCATTCTAAATGGTCCTGGCTTCTCTGTAATGGGCCCTGGGGGAGTCCATGGCCAAGATCAGGTTCTCCAGGAAAGATAAGGCCTGACTCAGTTCCCAAGGAAGCGTTTGATTGCTTGTTTGTCCTTCTGTGAGAATGGGATGCGATTAAATCACAAGTGTTGCAATTCTCTGCAAAAGAGAAGAGGTTCCAGCTGGGATGGGGCGGGGGGGGGGGTGGACAAATGGCCAGCTACTCCTCCTTCATCCCTGCAGCTGTCCAATCAGGCCTCCTGAGAAGTCCTCTGATCCTGGGGAGCATTGCAACCCGTTCTTACTGAGTCAGGGCACACTGGGGCTGGGGCTGCTCCCAAGCACATCAGAAGCTGCCCTTCTGGACATTTCAAAAGGACATAGCAGAATTAAATAGGTGGAAAGAACACACTGGTCTTGGATGAGGAGCCTTAAGATTAGAAAGTTATTTATCCTCCCATATTCATTATTCATTTAAATTAATTTCAAGAAAAATACCTACTTTATTTTGGGAGGAGTTAGGGGGCCAGTTCCAAAATTTTAATCAGAAATAAGTGTGCAAGGATAGCCAGGACATTCTGAAGTAGAGGCATAAAAAAACCCACAGTTTTGCCAAGTGCTGATGGCTCATGCCTCTACTACTACTCAGAGGAGGCTGAGATCTGAGGATCAGGGCTGGAAGCCAGCCAAGGCAAGAAAGTCCTGGAGACGCTTATCTCCAATTAACTACCAGAAAGCCGGAAGTGGTGCTATGGCTCAAGTGGCAGAGAGTTGGCGCTGAGCACAAAGAGGCTCAGGGACAGTGCCCAGACCCTGAGTTCAAGCCCCACAACTAAACTAAACTAAAATAAACACAGTTCAATCCCAGACCCAAATAAGTGGTATACTAGAGTTATGCATGTACTAAAAGTAGATTTTTACACCTGTAGGGAAAGGTATGTATTCATAAATGGTGTTAGAACAATAGGGTAGCCACAAAGTTAGATCCCTATCTAACTCTGTACACCCAAATAATTCCATATGAATCAAGATTTTTAAAATAGCGAGGTGGGAGGAAACAATGGTAGAATTTAAAGGAATAGTTTCATAATGACTTTTTCTATGTATAACTTTAAATTTATTATAAAAGAGGTAGCTAATGTTGGCTACATAAAAAGAATTTCAGTACAACATACAAATACATAAATTCAAAGTCAAAAGTTAGAATGAAGGTTCTGAAAAACGTTGTAACACTGTTGATAATGGTGCAAGAGTTAATATCCTCAGTGAAGTGCTAATAACAATTCAAGAAAAAGACCAACCTAATAGAAGATGTGGAAAAGCACAGACAGACATTTCCTAGGAAAGGAATTATAGTAGCATGAAAAAAAGATGACTTTACTAATATTAAGAGAACTACAAACTAGAATGACAATGAGATGTGACTTTTTTACCCTTCCTGGCAAAGGCAGGAAGAGTAAGACCAGAGTGAGGGAGACCCTTTCTTTTCTTTACTATCAAAACAAAAGGGAAAAAAGAAGAGGAAAAAGAAAAGGTAGAGCCAGGCACTGGTGGCTCACGCCTGTAATCCTAACTACTTAGGAGGCTGAGCTCTGAGGATCTCACTTGGAAGTCAGACTAGGCAAGAAAACCTATGAGGATTAATTAATCTCCAATTAACCAGCAAAAGGGTGGAAAGAGAACTGTGGCTCAAGTGGCAGAGAAGTAAACTTGAGCAACAAGTTCATGGACAGCACCCTGGCCCTGAGTTCCAGCAGGCTTATTTGAATTGAAAAATAATGTCAGCTACTTTCTGAGGGAAACAATCCTATTTGGGCTGTTCCTGCTGACAGTGAAGGCCTGGCATTTCCAGTGATTTTACACAGCAAACATTTACATAAATCAAATGAGTTAATCTGCAGCTTCAAAGTTTCAATGAACATGTAATTGAAACCCATTATCAGCTAAAAGCATTTTTACAAAACACACTGCAAAGATACATTAAATTAATAATGTTTTAATTTACCCATCATTCTCAGGATCTTGGGTTAACTTAAGTACTACATAGAAAATGTCAGAGGCGTAATTAATACTCATGTGACAAGTCTTGGTTAAATCTTAATGGTATGCTTCTTAGATGGGAAGAAGGGAAGCATTCTAGTGTTTGTTTTCAAAGAAATGGAAGGAGAATTGAATTGTCAGCTGAGAGATCATTCAGCATAACGATCACAGCATGCTTTTGAACAGTTAACTTGGAAGAATTTGACTAGTTGAGTGACACGGTTGTAATTCAACTCTTTCTGTTTTCAAGGTTTCTAAATACTTGCATTTATAAAAATGAAAGATGGGTATAAAATAAGTGCTGGTTCTAGTTTAACCTACCATGTAAAAAATTCACTCAGTAACTGATTTGTTTTCTCTTTGTGTGTGTGTGTGTGTGTGTGTGTGTGTGCACATGCGCACACGTGTGTGGTAGGACTGGATATTAAACTCAGGTCTTCAAGCTTGTTAGTCTGGCATCCTACCACTAGAGCTATGCTTCCAGCCCTCATTAACTAACCTTTCAAAAATAAAGATAAAGGGCTGGGATGTGGTTCAAGCGGTAGACATTTACCTTGCCAATGCAAGGTCCTGACTTCAAACCCTAGTACCACAGAAAATAAATGAATTTCAAAACTCAATTCACTTTGAGTATTTAATAAGTACTTGTAAAGGTAAGGGATATATTTTGTTGTTTAGGTTAATTGTATAATCATTTAATCCAAAAGAAAAAATATTCAACACTTGGAGACTTAGGATCAAAGGAGAAAATCTTATATTATTTCAGTTAATAAACAGTATGAACAGGTGGCCAATGAAAGACTTGGAAGCATGTATACCTACTTACACATATACAGATACATATACACATATGTACATGTACATACACCTAATGTTACAATAAAATTCTTAGGGGAAATCAAGTAGAAATACAAGTTTAAGGAGAAAACCTTATTCATAGGTCATAAATTTAGAGCTGATGGGCTGTTGATTGGTATGCATTTGTTATGCTCTTTAGATTCCTCTAGTTTTAAAGAATGAACAACTTATTTTAGTTTTGATAATTATGATTCACTGTACACTAGATCCTTCAAAAACATTTAGACCTTTACTGAAAGTTTAAGCTGTTATCTTAAGATTATCTTCTTATCCTAAAACTGCTGAATATGTGTTATTTGGCACCTCTTAATCTGTAGCCAGCATACAAAAAAATGTTCTTGGCACCGGTCCTTCCAATATCTTCCAGCTGTCATCTAGCCCTGGGGCTGGGAGTTGCTGGAAGTTCTCATAGGACACAGCCTTTCTTTTCCTGTCTACCTCAATAAAGGCTCAAAAGACCCTTTTTACTTCAGAGATCTGGTTTCTATAGAGTTTTGATTTAACATGAAGAAATCCAGCACTCCTTTCTGGGCTTTCACTAGAGTAGTTAGGCCTGTGAGCTTCCTGAGGTCAGAGGATCACACCTTATCCCTCAACTTGAGCCATGTCTTGAGTCAAATCACTTGTGTTAGATTCCTGCCCAGCTGTTTCTTGGGTCCCATACTTGGCTGTATTTGCTCTAGGGTCAGAATGTCATGCTGACTACAACAAGGCATGACTATTCACTCCTGGACATCTCTAAAGGCCATTTTTTTGCTTGTCGTCTTTTCTTTTCTTTCTTCCATTTTTCCTTTCTTCTTTCCTTCCCTCCCTTCATTCTCTCCCTTTGTTTTTTGGAGGGGGAAGTACTGAAGTCCAACTTCCATTCTTGCTAGTGGTCAAACCTGGAGTTGGAAGCACTCATGGACCCTCAGTATGAGTATGCCTGGATACAGTTTTCAATGATTGGGAAAAATAAACCAAAAGAAGAATATCATTTGATAACAAAGGAAAATGATCAGAAACGAAGACAGATAAGTTGTTATATGGAAGGCTGCTTTTCACTTACATTATGGACTCTTAGAACTTTTTCTTTCATGGTGCCCTCCTCCATAAAAGTTAACAAGTAAGCCAAGTGGTGTCTTGTACCTGTATTCCTAGCTACTCAGGAAGCTGAGATCAAAGGAGTGACCTCACTCCACCCAGGGAAGACAGATCCTTGAGACTCTTATCTCCAGTGAATCAGCAAAAAGCCAGAGAGCTTGAGAAAAAAGCCAAGTGAAAGTGTGAGGCCTGAGTTCAAGCTCCAGTACCAGCACAAACAAATGCGAAGAGGTATTGTGGAGCCTGGTATTCTGCTTAGTGGATAAGTCAGCCTCTGTTGCTTAGGGGGTACAATTGCCCTGGCATCACAGACTGAGCTGAATAGACACCACAGAGACCACAGGCCTGTAGAACCTACCATGTTTACAACCTGGCTCTTTGAGGAAAAGTATCCCAATTCTTGGTGTAGAATTTTACATAGAACAAAAATGAGAACACAGCTAGGCACTGATGGCTCATGCATATAATCCTAGATCCTCAGGAGGCTGATCGAATTCAAGTTCAGCTCAGGCAAGAAAGTCTGTGAAACTCTTATGTCCAGTAAACGAGCAAAAAGCCAAAAGTGGAGGTATGGCTCAAACGGTAGAGCCTCAACCTCAAGTGAAAAAGCTAAGCAAGATGTGAGGTCCTGAGTTCAGTCCCAGTGTGTGCCCTTGCATGCACATGCATGCACGCACACGTGCGCTCACACACACACACACACACACACACACACACACACACATACACACACAAATGGGAACCCAAGAGACACAATGACTTACCTAGTGAAACCCAGCAGGACTGACACCCAAACTACAGAATTCCCTCGGGCATACCCATCATGGTGGCCAGGCTCCCAGGTCAGGTCTGAGCCAGCATCCTGCGGGGCTTGGATGATGGAAACCAGAGGAAAAACTTTTGTTCTTGGGGATGAACCAAGGGCTCAGTTGACCTGAGCTAACCGAGCTCTCATCCCAAAGACCCTGGAGGGTGATCCAAGTAAGATGAGGACAAGTTGAAAACAATAGCTGCTCTGACAAAAATCATCCGTGTGCTTCTCTCAACCCCAAGAGGGTTTTATTATATCACATACCATATGAAATTGCTGAATTTCACCTCTCTTTGACCCACAAAACCAACATTTCGTAAGATCCAATCTAACAGAACTGTCTCATTTTACAAACAATCAGAAGCTGAAAGATGTATGTTGCTTTCTCTGGACAATAGTAAGTCAGGACAAGACAGAAGACCCTATTCAGTTGAGCTCTGTGATTCACAGCCTTGCATGGAATTGTATGCTCTTCTCCCATCAATCCCCAGTCCTTCCTCTTGGTGAGTTTCATCCATTGACAGGATGAGCTTTGAGTTTCTGAGCCCCCAGTGTCTCCCTGGCCTCCTCTTGCTCTCTTCTACATCATAATCTCACCCTTCTGTCCTCTTTGCCATCCCAATGCGATGTTTCCTCATCATCTGTCTTCTGCATGTTTCAGTTTTTGAATGTGGCAGGCGTTAGGGCTTCAGTGCCAGTGTTCTCACTGCCTGGATGTGTTTTCTTCTCTCTCTCATACATCTCTATTTTTTTTTTTATCAAGTTAATGGCTATGCATCCTATAGTTGTCAACTCAAAGGACACTTCCTCCCTGATTTCCTAATCCACCTTCTATTATCTCCATAAATGCAACTCCCTTTTCCCAGAGAAGTGTTTGCTCACACATTTATATTTGTGGTATAAATGTGCACATCCCCAGCATATCTTCACACTCACCAAGCGTGGCATCTGACATAGCTTTGTGTGCAAGCTGGATAGAGGGATCTTCTCTGCAATGTATTTCCTGGATAGTATCATTCCCAGCAGTCTCCACTGTTCCTCAGCATGGCATCCATTCTTCTGCCCCCTCTTGGAGTATGTTTTAGCTTAAGCTGCCTTAAAAAAATCTTGCCACCAAAGACAAGCATTGGTGACTCATGCCTGTAATCCCAGCTACTGAGGAGGCTGAGATCTGAGGGTCACAGCTTGAAGCCAGCCTGGGCAGGAAAGTCCATGAGACTCTTATCTCCAATAACCACCAGAAAAGTAGAAATGGTGCTGTGGCTCAAAGTGGTAGAGTGCAAAAAAGCTCAGGGACAGTGCCCAGGCCTTGAGTTCAAGCCCCATAACTGACAAAAAAAAAAAAGCCTACCAGGGGCTGGGAAGGTGGCTCAGTGGTAGAGCGCTTGCCTTGCATGCTCGAGGCCCTGGGTTCGATTCCTCAGCACCACATAAGAAAAAAGAAAAAAGCCGGAAGTGGCACTGTGGCTCAAGTGGTAGAGTGCTAGCCTTGAGCTGAAGAGCTGAGGGACAGCTCCCGGGCCCAGAGTTCAGGCCCCACAACCGGACCCCCCCCAAAAAATGCCTACCACTGAGCCAAGCGCCAGTGGTTTAAAATGACAATACTATACAATGACAATCCTAGCTACTTGAGAGGCTGAAAATGGAAGTATTCTAGTTCAAGGCTAACCCCAGCAGAAACACTCTCAAGACCCCCTCCCAACCTACAGAGGGTATGGTGGTACACACCTGTCACCCCAAGCTGTGTGGGTATGTGGAGCCTGAGATCGGGAGGACCTAAGGTCTAAATGAGAAAAGTCTAAAGACTCTGTCTCTACAGGGACACTCATCTGTGATCCCAGCAAGGACAAAAAGCCTGGGATTAAAGGGGAGCACCACCATGCCAAACATCAGTTTCACTTAAATCTCATCATACATTTGTAGGTCCCTCTCTCTGGTCTAGTTTTGTGCCTGAGGCTCTGAACTGGCTTATACATGTACACACACATACATGTACACACACATGTATACAAAATCTCCGTCCATAAAACATTTGGGTGTGTTTCCCCAATCTCTGGACATGTTTCCCATGTGACCTTCCAACCAAGGAAAACAAACACCCAGCTCTCCCTGGGAGCCACAGAGATGGACCGTGGCCCTTACTGGGAAGCCAGGGATGTATATGCTCACTGAGTATTTATTTGCCCAAAGCATTTGCTATCACACCACCCTTCACATCAAGCGTAAGGCTTTATATAAAGCTTTATATAGAGCTAAAGGAGCTACTATGAAACATATACATTCCTGAAACCTTATCTTCTTCAAAGGATTATATACTGTGTAAAGATTTATACCACTGAACATTTTATCTGAACTTGTTAATCTTCTGTGAGTGACCAGTTTATGTACAACTATATACCCTCTTATTTTATAATGATGAAATCATGCAAGCAGCAGATTAGGTTCTGAATCCCAGCATTCTCCAACTGCTCTGCTCCCCAGTGCCCACCCAGCTGTTTCCCCAAGCCAGATTTCCTCCACCTCCTAAACTCTCTTGGCTTAGCGATTGTTACTGGCCTGCCCTGCTGCTCAAACCCTAGGGCATCTACCAGGAAAGGCATCTACCCTCCTCCTGTCCCTCTGTGTTGGGAACCTTCCTGCGCATGCTCCCAGCCTGCTTTCTGCAGCACCGCTGTGAGGAGGGACTGCTCAGAACCTGTAGTCACCTTTCCTGTTTCTGCAGGTTCCTAGTGTTGGATTTGTCACATCACCCTGGATGACAGTCCCCAAATATACCTCTTAAACCCCCCAAGCTCCCTTTGCTAGCTCCAATTCTTTGTCATTGTCCCCAACCTTTCTTTTTTACCCTATACCTACCTGTGAGAGATACCCATCTTGGTTTCCTATCAGTGGAACTCCTTTGGAAGGTTTCTCTCTGAATCCTCTCTTCCTCCTCTCCCCCCCCCCCCCCTCCATTCTGTCCTCTGTCCTTCATCCACAGCCTCCTCATGCAGCCCAATCACACTGCTTATTACACCTTGTGTTTTCAACAAGGCCCAGGCCTCCATGGAGTAAATGAAGCTCTTTCAGAGGGAGTCAAAGATCTTTGTTATTGCCATGGTGTATGGCCCTCCAAGCACACTGTTTATCTGTAGAATCAGAAAAAGAAAATTTTCGGTGGATTAATTAGAGGAAAAGAAATGTCTAAAAAGGCTCTTCGGCAGTTGGGATAGAGGGCAATAGTGAGAGAAAGGTTGGGAGACATTGCTCTAAACTAGATCAGAGAGGAGGGACTGCAAGTATGTGATACAGTTTAAATGAAATGGATGGTTTGGTATGGTGAGTCTCTCTGGAATCCCAGTGGTATAGGTAGGGGGATCTTGGTCTGAGGTTGGCCTGCAGGCCAAAATCTGAGGCTCTATCCAAAAATAACTAAAGCCAAAAGGGCTGCCTAGCAAGTAGAAGGCCCTGAGTTCAAATCCCAGTACTACCAAAATGTACATGCATACATACATACATTACGTACATAAGTAAACTTAATTGATAATTATCACTTGATGCCTTGATCAGTGCCTGGAAGATAATAACTACCTGATGTGTGTTTATTGTATATATATACCAAGATGATTACATAATTCATTTACTCTCACACCCATTCTGAAGGAAGTACTGTTCCCATTGCAGTCAGAGAAAAGGAGATTTCCAGAGGATGGATTAGCGCCCAATTGAAAGAGGCAGGATTTAACTAACCTCTGACCTCAAACCCCACATACAATGGGGAAGTGAGCTCTTTCTTCACAATGGGATGAAGTCACCCCCTTATGGGGAAGAGAAAGGAGAGAGCCACAGAATTGACCGGTGTGTGTTGCTTTCAACATCCCTGGACTGAGAAAGGCCATTTCTGTGTCTCCAGGGCCATGATGATGACTGCCTGTGATCTCTCAGCCATCACCAAGCCCTGGGAGGTGCAGAGCAAGGTACGGACTCCTCCATGGCCAGGAGGAGGGGACCCCAGGACTGCCCAGGGCAGGTCATGAGGCCGGGACACTCTCCTTCTGTCCAGAGCCTGCCCCAACTGCAGGGACATGGAAATTCTTTGGTCTCTTCAGTGAGGAAGAATGGGGGTGGGTTTATCATTTTGACCGGCGGAAGGACTGGGACTGTGTGTTTATTTGGGGGTCTATCTGCTGCAGGTAGCTCTGCTGGTAGCTGCTGAATTCTGGGAGCAAGGCGACCTGGAACGCACAGTGCTGCAGCAGAATCCTATTGTGAGTTGACTGGGGGCAAAGAAGGGGGGTGCAGAAGGGGTAGGCAGGGGTTACCCTGGTCACAGCGGTGTGTGAACCTACTTACCATAAGGATGACTTCTCCCCTAGTGTAAAGACCAAACTTAACCTCATTCCTTAGGTGAGAGATGCAAATTTAGAGTTAGAAATAGCCAAGGTTAGAGATGCAACTTCTAAAGGCCCCCTCCCCTCTGGCCCTGCCCACCGGAGCTGGGAGGGGCAGCAGAGTGCTCGGACAGGACCTCCTAAGTGAGCTGGACCAGTGGGTCCCTGGGCTCTTAAGGATGCAGAGTTTGAGAGTAGACACTAAAAGTTAGGTTGCTCTTGTACTTCTGGAAGTTTCTTTATTTTTTATTATTTTTATTTTTGGACTGGTACTGGGGCTTGAACTCAGAGCCTGGGCATTATTCCTTAGCATTTTTGCTGAAGGCTGGCCCTCTACCACTTGAGCCACTTCTGGCTTTTTGGCAACTAATTGGAGATAAGAGTGTCATGGACTTTCCTGACTGGGCTGTCTTTGAACCTCAGTCCTCAGATCTCAGCCTCTTGAGTAGCAAGGATTACAGTCATGCACCACCACCTCCTGGGTAGAAGTTTATTTCAAGTGAAACCCCATCATTACCATTTCTTCTATTAATACTTTAGGCCATGTTTCTAAGAGACATATATCCATAATACAATAACCACAAACAAACATATAACCACAATACTATCATCATACTCAGAAAATTAGTGATGTTACTTTAATAGTTGAAAATTTAATAAATAGTTGAATATTTCATCAATAGTGATGTTACTTTAATTAATCCCCAGTCTGCTCATTGTCCCTGACAGAGGAGGATAAAGGACACACTGCCTCCAACAATTATGTCTGTTAATTAAGTCTCTTTGAATCAGTACAGCTCTCCAGGCCTTTTGTTTTGTTTTGTTTGGGGTGTGCCATTTATTTGTTGAAGACAGTGGGTCTTTTGTTGTGTAGAGCCTCCCACGTTCTTCTGTTCCCATAGTTCCTACAAATTGCACGTCAGATTTGGAAGCTTGGAATATTTACTTCTAATTTTTTCTTTCCCCTTTCCTTCCTTCCCTCTCTCCCCACACCCCCCCCCTTAGCAAGAATGTGATGGGACCCTCTTAATGCCCACTACAGTGAACTTTTTCTCTCCCTGACAGCCGATGATGGACAGAAACAAGGCAGATGAGCTCCCTAAACTGCAAGTTGGCTTCATTGACTTTGTCTGCACCTTTGTCTATAAGGTAGGCCCATGGCTTCCTCACTCCCAAAGAGATGCCCTTCATAAGCCGGGGTTCCCCAAGAAGCAACCTCGGCCCTAGACTCCAGCCACCACCTGGGCCCCAGGACAGGTGGCCCTGTCCAGGATGCCAGCCTCTGAAGAGACACCAGCCTGGCAGAAGGAGTAGGGAGAGGGGAGGGATGTGGACAACTCACAGGGGTCCAGCCTAAGCCAGTGGGGAAGAGCTTCCTCTAGGAAGTGAGGGGACAGGAGGGGAGAGGCTGGGAGAGAAAGGGAAGTGAGCGGAGAGGAAGTAAGGGCTCTGCCAGGGCCTCAGGGGAAGCAGGGAGGAGAGGAGGCCAAGCTCCACGTGAGGGGAGCAGCCCATGTGAAGCTGTGGGGAGCTGGGAGCTGAGACTTGGAGTTGTGGGGGCTCAGAAGAGTGGGGGGCAGAGGCTCTAAGCAGGAGATAAGGGAATTGTGTGGGTTGGAGGAAGCTCATTCCAGTGCCCAGCATTTCGGACTGGGCTGCACCTTGAACCTGGAGACTAGGGCATGGGACCCCTGCTATCTATCTGTCTGTCTGCCTGCCTGCCTGTCTATCATCTGTCTGTCTGTCACATTTCGATCATCTAACTATCATCTATCATCTACATACCTATCTATCATCTATCTATCTGTCATCTGTCCACTATCAATCTATCTTGTAGCTATCATCTGTCACTTATCACTTAACGATCTTTTGGGGCCACTAATTCTCTTGACATTGACCTACCATTTATCTATCAACAATCTACCCGGCTTCAGGAATTCTCCCGCTTCCATGAGGAGATCACCCCCATGCTGGATGGGATCACCAACAACCGCAAGGAGTGGAAGGCACTGGCGGATGAGTACGAGGCCAAGATGAAGGCGCTGGAGGAGGAGAAGCAGAAGAAGCAGGGGGCCCAGCTAGGTAGGCGGAGGGGGACCAAGCCCCATTCACACCCACCCACTGAGCACCCAGGGTGTCTGGGCCTGGAGCTGCGTCCCATTCTGTGAAGCAGGGTGCTGAGGCTGGCAGAGGAGACAGATAGGGCCCCGTCTCACAGCCAGACAGTGAGTGGCAGAGCCTGGTTCCCAGCTGAAGCTGAGGGAGGCAGCAGGCCACCGAACCAGTGATTCCCCCTGGACACAGCTCACTGATACTCAGGCTGCCCCACACGTGCATCCCTGGGCAGAGGAGGAAAACATGAATTCTCTCCTGAAAGGAAGCCATGATTGAAGCCTTCTGATTACTTGATTCCTGTCTCTATCACGAGCTTCTGCTTGTATGCCATCAATGACAGAGAGCCTACCCACACCACACCCTCATGCCACACCACTATTAGAAAGGTCTTCATGGCTGGGCATTGGTGGCTCACACCTATAACCCTAACTACTCAAAAGGCTGGGAAGTGAGGATTGTGGGTTGAAATCAACTCAGGTAGAAAAGTCTGCAAGATGCTGATCTCCTATTAACCAGAAAAAGGCCAGAAAGGAAGGTGTAGCTCAAATGGTAGAGCTCCATTGAGTGAAGAAGCCATTTGAAGTTGTGAGGCCCTCAGTTCAGGCCCCAATACTGGCACACAAGAAAAAAGGAAAAAAAAAAACCAGATTTTCCTTAAGCTTAAATTGCTTTACCTTGCACATTTCTCAGGCATGCCCCACATTGTCAGGTGCACATTTAGAACCACCTCACGCTGCCCAGAGCACAGCAGACATGGGCGTGGACATGGGAGTGTCCACACGAGAGCCACGTGAGAGGAGGGCGATGCGCAGAGGAGGCAGCAGAATAGGGCAGGGACCAGCAGCCCCGTCCTGCAGGAGCCAGGGGAAGAAATGGATTTGGCTGCTGCAGTCCTGCTCCAGCCCTGTGCCCTCCCAACCCATGCTTCCTTCAGTTGTTCTTTCCAGTTGCCTTTGTCTTCTGATCAGCAGCAAGTTTGCGCAAATTTGTGGCCCATGTTTCTTTTTCTTTTTTTTTTTTGGTCCGGTCATGGGGCCTGAACTCTGGGCCTGGGCACTGTCCCTCAGCTCTTCAGCTCAAGGCCAGCACTCTCCCACTTGAGCCTCAGCCCCACTTCCGGCTTTTTCTGCTTATGTGGTGCTGAGGAATTGAACCCAGGGCCTCAGGCATGCAAGGCAAGCGCTCTACCACTGAGCCACCTTCCCAGCCCCCCATGTTTCTTTTCTTAAATCTTTTACTCTTTTTTTTAAGTGGGGCTGAGAATTGAACCTAGGGTTTTGTACATGCTAGGCAAGAATTTTAACACTGAGCTACACCCTTAGATCCTGTGTGTGTGTGTGTGTGTGTGTGTGCGCGTGCGCACACACACGCGCGTGCGCATACATGCATGTCCACGTGTTCCAGTACTAGAACTTGGATTCAAGGCATGGTGCTCTCACAATTCCACTATGGCTTTTTGCTGGTTAATTAGAGATAAGAGTCTCAAATACTTTCCTACTTGGACTGGCTTCAAACCATGATCCTCAGTAGCTAAGCTTATAGGAATGAGCCATCAGTCTCTGACTGTCTGCATTTTTCTTTAAAATATGAGTTGGCTGTCCACATTTCAACACTGGACTTTTTTTTAATTTAAATATGCAGGTTCCTAGCTTTCCTCTTTTTTTTATTGTGAAAATACCGTACAGAGGGGTTACAATTACATGGGCAAGGTAACGAGTACATTTCTTATCAAACATTGTTGCCTCCTCTTTGTTTCCCCTTCCCATCCCTTCCCATCTCCCCCCACCCTCCCACCCCCACCTAGCTTTTCTCTTTCAGACTGGCCAGTCTTGTGTTTCTGAGTACCCAGTGACCAGAGCCTTCCTTGGATGGCACAAGGCCCTCTACCTTGTTATTGCTTGCCTCCACTCCCTGTGTCTTAACATCAGTGTCAGGGCTGGCTGCCATTTGTCATCCTGGGCTGCCACTTTTCTTAGAGAAGGGAGCCTCTAATTCTCCTAACGCCTGCTTTGCCTTCTGCATGGGTGGTTATTTGTTGGTCTCCACGAGCCTTTAAACTTGGCCCAAACCAGTCACAGGGGAGTGGACTGCAGCCTCTTACCAGCTATGTTGTCTTTCCTGTTTGATTGCAGCCACATCTGGAGACCAGCCCAGCGGGAATCCTGCGCCAGGGGGCGCTCCTGCATCCAAGTCCTGCTGTGTCCAGTGAGGCCGGGTGCTGCAGTCAGAGGGCAGCGCTGTGCGAGGGCACGTTGCTCAGACCAGCGGAGAAGCTCACACCTTCTCAAGAAGCAAAGGGCTCATCGCAGGAGTTAAGAACTGGTGGAGAATTAGCCAACATGTCTTTTAGTGATTATAACTTTCGGTTTTTAGACTTAAACGCAGTCTATTGAAGCTGAGAGCTGGTGGATCCTGCCTGTAATCCTAGTTACTCAGAAGGCTGAGATGTGAGGACTGAGGTTTGAAGCCAGCCCAGGCAGGAAAGTCAGACTAGAGGTAGGATTCAAGTATATGCTAGCTGACCAAGTGCAAAGACCTGAGTTCAAGCCCCCAAACTGTGACACACAAAATCTGCATCTTTAAAGGGAGTAGTGGGGCCTTCAGGCCCTTCTTCAATTGCAAGGTTCTTTTTGCATTTCCCACAGGGATCTACACCCATGAAGCGACTCAGGCAAGGTGGGAAGACCTGGCCATCTTGCTCAATATGAGACAACTGTCTGAGGCCATTCTAGTGCCATTGTAGGCCTCCTGTGGGGTCCTAGCCATATCAAGGCCCATGACATAGCTGCCCCTCATGTCCACTCCCACGAATTCTCCTGCTCTCCCCAAGTCTGTCCATCCTGCAGACAGAATCCGCTGGTGATGCTAGCCCAGAACCCACTTTCTCCATGGTCACAAATATGTCTTTAAGAGCTGGTTTGCCTGAATTTAGTCCTAACAAGTTTCCCACATTGAGTCTAGCAGTTATATTTCTGTTTTGCCCTTATATAGTACTGGGGATCCAACTCAGGGCCTTGAACTTGCTAGGCAAGTACTCTACTACTTAACTCACAACCCCAGCCTTTTGCTTTTAGTTTGCATATTAAATACAGTCTTGAGCTAACTTTGTCTGAGTTGGTCTTGAATCATGATTCTCCTACCTCTACCTCCTGAGTAGCTAGGAATACAGGCATGATGTTTCAGTCTTTGCCTGTTTGTTTTCTTTCAGTAAGATATAATATATATATCTATATGTATATATAGATATAAATATTTGAGTTTAAGCCCTGGTACTGATAACACACACACACACACACACACACATACACACACACACACATTTTTGTGATACTGGGGTTTGAACTCAGGGCCTCACACTTACTTGGCTTGCTTGCTCAGTTGGCACTCTACCACTTAAGCCATGTCTATCATTCTACCACTTGAGCCACAGTTCTACTTCCAGCTTTTTTTGTGCTTAATTGGAGATAAGAATTTCACAAACCTTCTTGCCCCTGGTGGCTTTGAACTATAATCCTCAGATCTCAATCTCTTGAGTAGCTAGGATTAGAAGCATGAGCCACCAGCACCTTGCTTTGCTGGTTATTTAAACATGGAATCTCACAGACTTTTCTACCTTGTATGGCTATGAACCTTGATACTCCAGATCTCAGCCTTCTAGGTAGCAAGGATTATAGGAGTGAGCTACTGGGTCCTGGTCCTACCTTTGTCTTTGAGATAAAGGCTTGCTAAAATTTTTCCTTGGGCTGGCCTTGAAACTGTCCTTTCTATCTCTGCCTCCAAAGTAGCTAGGATTACAGTGATGAGCCACCCAGACAAGCATTGGTCTCTTAAGCTAAAGCAAATTATGTGTAGTGGTTAGGTGGAAGGGCAGGGAGGAAAAATAAATGACACTGAGGAACACGCAGGCATTTGTGCTGGCGGTGCTGACTCTGTCACGACAGTTCTGAGTCCCTGGGACAGTTTCATTCTGCGCTGTTCTCCTTCCCAGTCTCTCAGTGAGGCCTCATGCCTGCTAGGCCTCTCACGCAGGACTACGGCCAGCACACAGGTGCCATTACCATTGCTCAAGTGTTTGCCGTGTCCCAGCTACTGTGTGTAATTTACTCCGTCCTTGCAGCGGACCTACAGGGTAGAAACCATGACTAGCCCACTAAGTCCATGATGAGGAGCAGACTTGGAGACATTATAACTCCCGCCCAGGACATCAGCCAGAAAGGGGTGGAACAAAGACCCAAAGCAAAGCCGCTTTTGACCACAAAGGACCTTGGGAGTGCATCTCAGCAAATCCACCTGTCTCCAAGTCAGGGGAGCCAGGAACTAAGGAGGCAGTGTCCCAAGATCACAGGAGACACACATGTGATGGGAGCTGAGTCTTAAACACAGGGCAGGGCTTGAGAGCTGCCAGTCCTTGTACTTGGGAATTCCTGGCCAATGGGCCAGGCGCTGGCTATGAACAGAGTGGTCCCAACTTCTGGAGCTTATTTTCTTTTTAACCAGTTAATACAGTAAGGGGTAATCTAGTGAGCCATCACACCGTCCCTCAGGATGCTCGCTCATGCCAGGGAGCTCTGCCCTGAAGTTCAAACACCTTCCTTATTCACTTTAATGGGAAAAGCAATCCATTTCCTTCCAACATATTACACCTAACTGCTGAGGATGTTTATGTATGTCATGACATCTTGCAAATAGTGTGCTGTAACAGAGGGGGAATGGGCTCTTGTTTGCAAGTTGTTCTGCCTGATGCTTTCATCTCCTGGGAGCTCATGGGTTTCTTGTGCAAGACTGCACTTGAAGATAAGGTTAAAGAGTTGGGGTGCAGCTCAAAAGTAGAGCACTTGTCTAACGTGCAAGGTACTAGGTGTGATCCCTGGTACTGCAAAATATGAAAAAATAAGCACACAAAAAAGCTTTAGAGCAAAATAAGGGTTAAACTTGTTTTAGCATGAGGAAATCTCCTCCTCTCTCTCTCTCTCTCTCTCTCTCTCTCTCTGTCTCTCACACACACACATATACACACACCCCTCTAAATCTTGGTAGAGGCTGTTTGTTTGTACCACCTATTGGCACTATGTCCACGTAGCACCCATATCAGATTTGCTGTCCATGGACCTTTGAATAGAAATAGTTGTGTCACTGTGAACTGAAACCTTCCTTTGTGTAAATATACCTTAGAGCACATTTATTTAGTGAGCCTGTGTGAAATAGCTGGTTCATCAAAACAAGGAAGTCTTTGTTCAGGAAATGGTAGAATTTTCTAAAGAGTCTTGGTCAGAAGGCACAAATGGATGACCTCTGGAGTGACTGGAGTGGTAGATAGCGCACCAGGCTAAGCAAGAGCAAGGCCGAGTTCAAATCCAGTACCGAGCAAATAAAAAAGAAGGCATTTTAGTGGAAGAGCTGTTATGCAAGGCAAGCCTGAAGAGTTACTATGAACTCTGAAAAGTGTGAAGGAAGAAGGAAGAGCCAACCAAGAGTTTTGGTGAGGTCAGGGCTAACCCTGAGTGAGTCTGGGTGTGGTTGTGCACACTTGTACACTCAGGACTTGAGAGGCAGAGGCAGAAGGATCTTGAGTTGGGATCAGACTGGATTAAGCAGTGAAATACTGTTTCAAACACAAACAAAAAGCCTGGCACTGGTGCAGAGATTCATGCCTGTAATCCTAGCTACTCAGGTGGCTGCGATCTAAGGATCCTAGTTGAAGCCATTTCCAGGCAGACAGATCTGAGAGACTAGCAAAACACTAGAAGCAGAGATGTGGTTCAAGTGGTAAAGCACTAGTGTTGGGCAGGAAAAGCTAAGTCAAAGTAAAGTATATGGTCCTGAGTTCATACACACACACACACACACACACACACACACACACACACACACACACACACACACACACACACACACACACACACACACACACACACACACACACACACACACACACACACCCTTGGCTGGGGTCTTCTCTGACAAAGCAACACTGGGGCTGGAGTCTCTTCTTCATTTTTGTAGCTAGAACACCCCTTGATGACTTCATAGGACCAATAAAGAAAGACACGTCTGGGCAGGGCTGGGGTGGCATTTTCTCTTTAATCTCCATAGTGTATTTGTTAGGTTTATTTATAAGCAGATCACTTCACTATTTACAGTACATGAGCATAGAGATTCTACAGTTTTTGTGATGTAAACAATGACCCCACAGTGGGAGCTTGAGAAGAGAAGCCAGTTCTGAAGTATTTACAGACGTTAAAATAGAACTTTATACTCACAGAATAACAAGACATAGAGCAATTTGGTTAAATCATCTATGAAACTATAGAATCTGACAATGTACAAATACAGGAAAACATTTTCTCATTTAGAAGGTAAGACAGACAAATCACATCAGAAATAAAATAGAGACGATGACAACCACAATAATTAAAAGCAAAGAAGGTTTCTTCCTTGCCTCTTACAGATAAATTATTCATATAAATAAGGACACAACCCAACAAAATGGAAAAAATATATAAAAATCCTCTACCAATTAAAAAAAATAGCAAAACTAAAAACTCGATTCTCAATCATTAGCAGTGTCCTTTAAAAAATTAAAATTTAGCGTTCTATTATAAATAACAAAGCAGATGTGTCCCTCTGTGTAGGTGAAATTCTTGCACCTTTCTCAAGAAATGCATCAATGTAATTACACACACACACACACACACACACACACACACACACACACGGCCTTTCACCCACTCACCCCAGGCTGTAGTTACCTTGTTGAACTTCCTAATAAATAATGCCCCTACAGCAGTAACCCCAGGGATGGCCACGCTTCTCAAGTGTAGCCATTCCCTCGTTTGACCCTGTCGCAGAGCCAGAGAAAGCCCTGACTCCCTATTGCTCAGAATTCTCTAGGCTGGATAGTCACATCAAGAGAAGAGGATTTTCAGTCCAAGATTTGGAAATGCTGGCAGGGATCACCTTGCCCAGTCAAGTAAGGCTAACTACAGACACCATCTCTGGAAAACCAGCACTGGGAGCAGGATCTCATATTGATTTCCACACTGGCAGCTGCCCCAGCCAAAGCTTACCACATGGCACTGGAGGTGAGGGGTGTGAGTGTGAATTCTGGAAGAGCTTGCCCTGAGCCGGACTTCTGCATGGTCATCCGTCCCAGAAACCACCTGGAAGTCCACATGGTCCACTGCCCTGTTCCACACACCCGCGATCACA